CATTACTGTCTTTGGTTGCCCTAACGTCTATATGAGCTCTCCATGTTTCACATAGAAACCTCAAGCAGCGTGTGTTACACTGATTCATCGGCATCCAGCACATACCTTACCTCCTCACCACCCTCCAGTCAACTGTAACCTTACCGTAAATTGCCACTTTTGGTGTGAAAACAATGATGACATGGCCTCGGACAGCATGCATGACTATTATGTTCATAAGCCAAATGATGGTAAATGGACCTGTACTTGTATAGCACTTTTCTAGTCTTCCGACCACTCAAAGCGCTTTTACACTACGTGCCACATTCACCCTTTTACACACATTCACTAAGTGATGGCAAAGCCCATCGAACAGAATCTAACTCATTCATACACATTCACACAATTTGGGTTACGATACAGTGGAGCCCCCTGCCAACACGATACGATTCACCTCTGTTCACGATGCGATGCGATTCATTGATGATTTGACAACGATTTGACTTTATACAATGCGATTCGGTTCGATACGATTCAACACAATACAAAGAATTTACAAGCCCACATCTGGTTTCTAATGTATTTGATACTTGATTGTTTTCTATAAAGCAAACCAATAAATCCAACTTAAAAAGAAGATGCAATTCAATATGGTACAGACAGAGAATTTTTTTATTCCTAATAACACTAAATCATAAACAAAAAATATTTTTTTCATTACGTGTTTTTAATCTCATTCTCTACTTATACAATACTAAATGTATTGTATTCGGGCAATTTCTTTTTAGCCTCTTTATAAAAAAAAAAGAAAAAAACAGTCCTTTTCTCAGGTCCTTATACTAATAGTGTTCTCTGTCTGTAATTTCACAATGTTTTACAGAACACTTATAAAACTTCCCAACATCAACAATGTGCATTGTGCAAATAACTTTATCATAGTGCAATGTCCATACTACTGCTGCCAGACTGATGTGCTTGAGCTGACACTCTTCTAGTTTGCTAACTGAGCAGTGAGAGCAGAAATCACTGAGATTTATACAACAATATAACAAAAATAAACAATTGCAACTGCCTACAAATTTAGGTGTTAAAAATTTAACTATTGACTGACACCCACAGCAACTGTAAACATCACTCACACTGAGGTATATCAACTAGAGGTCTTTCTTTTCAAAGTGCAAAGTCCACACTGCTCCTGCACTATTGTGTGTCTTCCAAGGTACGCTTAATATCTCCTCTTCACCTGTTGTGTCGCTTCCCTCCATTTTTTCTGTTTACTAAATAACTGCATCTGCGGCGCCGCGCAAAAAGATAGTGATGGTACGTTCAAGGCACCTCGAAAACACTGGTGCAGAGGAGATAAACTATGTAATAATCGATGTAACCATGGGTTTTACCAATGCAGACACGCAAAGAAAGATACATTGCGCATTTAGCCGCCAGTTGTATCCAATGCACACTGAAGCTACCGGTGCACTCGCATCGCAAATGTCTGTCTCGCACCACCGATTCAAATCGGTGAATCTCTCCATCCCTAACTTCGACATGTGGCACCAGGAGCCGGGGATCAAACCAACAACCTTCCGATTAGGGGACGACCAATGATGATTGATCAAATGATCAAGCTGTGTTTGTGCTCTGTGGAGTTTATTAACGTTCCTTCAGCATAGTATAGAGTTGCTGCACCGTTACTGAGATCCTATAGCAAATACAAAAAGAACTGTACAAACAACCTGAAACTGCCCTGTGATGGGAGAACACATCACCCTTTTTGTTATCATATGAAAGTCAGTGTTATCATTTTAGGCACTGCTGGCCATGAGTACCCAATCCTATGCAGTGCTCCACTATAGTGGGAGGATGCAGTAGAGCGCAAGCCGTCAGTACAGAGAGAAATAATACTCATTACATTGAAAAATGTATTATTTGTGATCAAAATGTTGTCAATAATGTGTTAGAGACCCCCACAGATGATTTCACTGCCTTCATGGGAGCTCAGAACCCTTCTTATAAGTTGAACCCTGCTGCATTCTACAACCGGGAGCATGAGGATAGTTCACAATGTGTTCTTATGAATTTTTTTAACTTTTCTTTCTTTTGCAAAACCACAAAAACTGAAGCTAAAATCTGACCTCCAGTTCTTGCTGAAGAACAGACAACCGTGTCCCGCCACCGTTTTGTCACCCAGACTAATTTTTTCTCATTTTAAATCACTGATGTTACTACAGCGTGTCGTTTCGCTCTCAGCCCCCGTGTTGTACCTCTGACTTTCCATGAGGTGATGCATTGCACCCTCTGGCATGAAAATCTTAATAACATCTTGTAGTGTGTGCCTGTCTGAGATTAGACAGAAGATAATCTGTGAAGGGTTTTGTACGTGGTGTCACTCGATTCCACAATCAGTTAAGATTTTTAAAACTCCTGCAGTCTGATCCCGGATTTACACAGTATGCTCGAAATAGCCGAACAGTCGCCACCAAAGGAAGGAAAACAAACACACCACATGTTCCTTTAGAGATACTGAGAGAGAGGAGGTGAAGGAAGAGGTGTTTGCTGCTGTCAGAACTGTGAGTCAGCAGAGCTTCAGTCTGATCCGGATCAGCAGACCTCCTTCCTCCCACTCAACAACAGCTGGACTGTAACAGCTGAGAGGAACATCTCACTGTGCAGAGAATCAAATATTATAAACATGACTGTTCTCATATAACTGTCTGCTTCAGTCTGTTATTGATCAGTTTTATTGTCAATCACATCTCTGGATTACAGATCAGATCAGAATCCTCATGTTACAACACATAAAATATATGAGTATGAATGTGATGTATAAGTTATATATAACACAGGTATGAGGAATAAATACAAAACATATTTTTATGTATACGAGGTACAAGGTTTATTCATCATTCTCCTACAGGGTTGTACAACAAAATGCAAACTGTAGTCTATCAACAAAATTATATAATCAATCAAAGGTTAAATGTTTCTCGTCTCACGCTCTGTCTCTGGATCTGGAGATGTTGATGGAGCAGGTCTCTGTAAAGATGTGGACACAACAGTCTCTAATGTCCCGTTGTTTGTCCAGAGTCCAATTTGGTCCAGCTATGCTCTGATTTGTGAAAAGGAAGCTACAATTATTGGTCAAATGTGTGGAAAAGGACAGAATTTCGAGGATGTCCAGAATTCACACAGATTGGTTGAATTTGTGTTAATTGTTGCGATGGCATTCCTGTAGGGACTGAATTATAGTCAGATTACAGTGGTATTCAATTCAATTCAATTCAATTTATTATAGCGCCAATTCATAACAGAAGTTATCTCAGGACGCTTCTCAAATAGAGCAGGTCTAGACCGAACTCTTTATAACATTATTTACAGAGACCCAACAGTACCACCATGAGCAAGCTCTTGGCGATGGGGGCAAGGAAATATTGCCTTTTATATAGACGTTCAGTCTATATATCTATAGACGTTCAGTCTATAATACGTATGTGTATAGTGTACATTAATACTACAGCTGTATGCCGTTACTTTATACTTCACACTTCTGTATGTGTACTACTATTGTCTATAACTTTGCTCTTGTACAGTTTTTATTACTTTATACAAAAATAAATATTTTATTTTTTTATCTGAACTGAGTTTGCCCTCTGGGGGATCAAGCAAAAATCAAGTTACACAAGAAATAAATAAGGATAACGTGATATAACTATAACTATAAACTATAAAAGTACAATAATAACAGTAGATATAATACTCTTATGCAGTGCTATAAGTAGCATGAATACACTGAAAATATACAGTATATATATGTATGTGTATATTTATGTATATATATATATACGTATGAGAGGAGGGAAGCAGGTGTGGTAAGCAGAGCCATATGGCCGACACTCCCCTGGGACTTCTTAGCCAATAAGATCGCTCTGCCAGCACACACACACACACACACACACACACACACACACACACACACACACATACACACTCACACACACGCTGAGGCTGTGTTTCCAGTCCAGGTCCATACAGTCCAGGTCTTGACTCAGATTGAAGAGCAGAGTGGTCTAATCTGATGATACAGAGTATTTTGGTGATCAGTTATGGTTACAGACTGTTTATTACACTGACTGTTTATTATACTGACTGTTTATTATACTGACTGTGTAATAGACAGTCGGTGTAATAAACAGACTGTTTATTACACTGACTGTTTATTACACTGATGCTGCATTCACTGCCGTCAGGAAACAAGCCCGTGTCTAATTTTAGCTGCTGGAAGACGACAGTAAATCTCTGTGGACGACAGATTTACTCAGTGTGTGTGTGTTTGTGTGTGTGTGTGTGTGTGACATTAGTGAATAACAACAGAAGGCACAGAACTGTCGCACTGACTGATCATCAGTGATTGAGTCTAATTGCTAAATTAATGAATCAGTGTTCTGATTGTACCGATCAAATTTATTGATGATATTAAAACTTTCTGATCGACAGTCAGTTGGATGAAATAAACAACTGAACTTATATTACTTTGATATTTTCATCCTGTTCCTCGGAGGCTTCTCTCTCTGTCTGTCTGTGAGATATTAAATGTGGTTATGAAAGTCTGGACTTCAGACCTGACTGTCTATCTGTCTGTCTTTCTCATTTTCAGCGTCACTGGTTTAATATAAAACAGAGAGTCAGGACAGACAGTTCATGCTGACTTTAGAGTTCTTTTGGTTCAGAAACAATATTGAGTTAGAAGAATGTTTATTTATTGTGTTCAACCCTCATGTCCGGTTCTTAAGTAAAAATATTAACAATAATAATAAGAAGAAGAAGACTCACTCTTTTAAACATTTGTTGGACGCCCACTGTTTGAATCTTTTCCAGCCACACATTGTATCTGTGTTTAAGGTAGCTGTTCGCTAGCGGTAGGCTACCTGCTGTTAAAAAGAGAGACACCATGTTTTGGTACCCAACCCCAGTGCTGAGACAGGGAAGAGTGGTTGTTGACCTCTAATACTCTCTCTCTCTTTCAGGTGGTGTGTGTGTGTGTGTTGCTGAGTGGAAGAGTTTATCCGGCAGAATTAACCTGCGAGACGTTGATCCTGCTGTCCACCAACCTGACAGGTAACTTCCTGTCTGTCCTCCTGTCTCTGGATCTACAGTCCGAATCCTCAGACAATAGACAAACAAGTAAAAAGGGATAATAATAATAATAATAATAATAATAATAATCCAAAAAGAATACGGCACCAATCCTGTTCATGTTTGTCTTTCAGCGAGGACGTTGGCGTTATTGAACCAGACGTTCACCATCAGTAACTCCTCAGGTCTGTACAGGACTGGATGTTTACACCAGTATTATACTCTCACTGGATTTCCTTTGTTCCACACTGAACCATTTAATATTTGTAGTCCTGTAGTTTAATGCTACTGGCAGCTTCAAAGTAAAAGTTCCTCCTTCATTCATACTTTTTATTTAAAGCTTTATGTGTAATACAGCATACACAGAAATATCAGAGTCAAAGTTTCACCTGATTAAAGGACACAATCTGCATATTCTTACTACTTCTTCTGGTCTGTCTGTCTGACTATCTCACTATCTGTCGGTCTGTTTGTCTGTCTGTCTGTCTGTCTGCAGGTCTGTACTGTCACCTGTCTGTGGACGGGATAGGAACCTGCTGGCCTCGAAGTGCAGCAGGAGAGCTGATCTCCAGACCTTGTCCTGAACAGTTCAATGGCATCCACTACAATACCACCAGTAAGTTCCTGTCTGTCTACCTGTCTGTCTACTTGTTGCTGTGTCCCAACTTAGGAGCTGGATTCAACAAGGGATGTCGACGACAACGTGTTCTTGAAGTTAATTTGCAGGAAATGAGCCTCCAGTGGTCAACAAAACCTTTTCCTTTCATTCTCAGCCTCGCCTACAGTTTCTGTACTAGAACCAAAATATGGTGAGTCAACATATCTATATTCAATTCAATTCAATTCAATTTTATTTGTATAGCGCCAATTCAAAACAGAAGTTATCTCAGGACACTTTTCAAATAGAGCAGGTCTAGACTGAACTCTTTAAAACATTATTTACAGAGACCACCATGAGCAAGCACTTGGAGACAAGGGCAAGGAAAAACTGCCTGTTAAAAGGCAGAAACCTAGGACAGATCCTTCAGCTCTAGGTGGGTGGTCGTCTGCCTCGACCAGTTGGGGTGAGAGAGAGAGAGAGAGAGAGAGAGAGAGATGCACAGCAACAACAGTATTGGCAATGGCAATCTAGCAGGACCATGGCAGGAGGCTCCACCAGGATCGATAAGAAGACGAGAAAGCACAATATATATATAAATAGATATATTATGAGCACTGGACTCCCTGGCTGGTCCCAGACCAACAGACTGCTCTGCACTGTGTGTTCTGACCCCTTTCTATCAGAACCAGCATTAACTGTTTCAGCAGTTTGAGCTACAGTAGCTCGTCTGTTGGATCGGACGGGCCAGCCTTCACTCCCCACCTGCATCCCCCCCCATGACCCTGTCTCTGGTTTTGTTCCTTCCATGGACCACTGTTGATAGGTACTGACCTCTGCAGACTGGGATCACCCCACAAGAGCTGCAGGTTTGGAGATGTTCTGACCCAGTTGTCCATCACAACGTGGTTTTTGTCAAAGTGGATCAGATCCTCGAGCTGCACATTTTTCCTGCTTCTAACACATCATGGTTTGGATGTAGTTCCATATAATACCAGGATCTTCACTGTAAACCTGAACCTGCTGCAGACACAGACAGACTGTGGACCTGGACTCAGAACCAGGGCCCTGTAATACTCATTCCTCCTCAGTCCTCCTCAGCCCTCAGCCAATCAGGAGCTGCCAATTAAGTGTGAGCCAATCACAGCTTAACACTTTGAGATCTCACTGACATCCAACGACACAGTGTGTTTGTGTGTGTGTGTGTGTGTGTGTGTGTGTGTGGGTGGTAATAAATATCCTGTTTAATTAGAGGTTTAGTTGTTGATCTGACTTAATAGCATGAGTCATCTGTGTGTGTGTGTGTGTGTGTGTGTGTGTGTGTGTGTGTGGGTTTGTGTGTGTGGGTTTGTGTGTTTAAACCAGCTGGAGCTCATGTCTCACTCCACCTTCATCATCATCATCATCATCATCTCTTCACACACTGTGAAATACCCTTGCTGTCTCTCCCTGCTGATGTAATCCAATCTCTGGCCTCTGATTGGTCAGTGTTCCACTAACATTGACTCAGCTAACGAGCTAATGAGCTAGCTGTCGGTCAGCACTGAGTGGGTGTATTGATCTGTTCAGCTAATCTGCCAGCAGAGCAGCTAAACCTGGACTTATTGATTGAACCTGAAGCCAGCTGTCGCCTCACCCACCCCATCGGTGAGGTGGGGGAGGAGGGGCAGGGGGGTGCTGTGACACCAATTAGGACCGAATTACAGCTCTGGTGTTGCCGTGGTTACTCACACAGAATATTTCAGTATTTGATTATGAGCGCATGAGGAGTTTAAGGAGCCGATCAGTTTAAACTGATATTGATTGATTGATCGACAGCAGAGAAAGTAATTTTACTTAAGTATTTTATTTATGTATATTATATATTTTAGAGTGTACTGTGAGATAAACAGTGAATGTTTGTTTGTTGATTGGTTGATGGAGATAAAAACCTGGTGGCGCTAATTCTCCAGGTACTGCCATTAATCCTCTGCAGAAGAAGAGGACACGACGAGATGTCATTAAAAGAACTCAAAGTCAAAGGTCAAATGATGGAAATCAGACTTTTACAGTCTCTTCATAGCTCAGATATTTTCAGCTCTTTATATTAAAATCAATAATCTGGGATGGTCACATGATCCGGATAAAGATGGACGCTTGAAACACCTTGGAGCTAACACTAACTGATCAAGCAGTTATGTAGCGGACCTGGAAAAGCGCATGGATGAGGTTGAGGAGAGGGTCTCTGCTACAGAGGACAGCCACGGTGCCCACAGCACCTTAATAGCTGCCATGGAAAAAACAATGAAGCAGCTGCAGCTGAAAATTGACGACTTAGAAAACCGGGGCCGACGTAAAAACCTGAAAATGATTCAATTCAATTCAATTCAATTTTATTTGTATAGCGCCAATTCATAACAGAAGTTATCTCAGGACACTTTTCAAATAGAGCAGGTCTAGACTGAACTCTTTATAACATTATTTACAGAGACCCAACAGTACCACCATGAGCAAGCACTTGGCGACAAGGGCAAGGAAAAACTGCCTGTTTAAAGGCAGAAACCTAGGACAGATCCTTCGGCTCTAGGTGGGTGGTCGTCTGTCTCGACCAGTTGGGGTGAGAGAGAGAGAGAGAGAGAGACAGACAGACAGACAGACAGACAGGTGCACAGCAACAACAGTATTGGCAATAGCAGTCTAGCAGGACCATGGCAGGAGGCTCCACCAGGATCAATAAGAACCTGCGAGACGAGAAAGCACAAGAACTCCGGGGGAAGAAGTGGAGTTAGTAACATGCATTAATGGGACATGAATGAGTGCAGAAAGAGAGAGGAAGAGAGGAGCTCAGTGCACCATGGAAAATCCCCCGATAGTCTAGACCTACAGCAGCATAACTAAGGGATGGTTCAGGACTCACCTGATCCAGCCCTAACTATAAGCTTTATCAAAGAGGAATGTCTTAAGCCTACTCTTGAATGTGGTGAGGGTGTCTGCCTCCCGAACCACAACTGGAAGCTGGTTCCACAGGAGAGGAGCTTGGTAACTGAAGGCTCTGGCTCCTGTTCTACTTTTAGAGACTATAGGAACCACAAGTAGCCCAGCATTCAGAGAACGTAGTGTTCTAGTGGGGTAATAGGGTACTATGAGCTCTTTAAGATATGAAGGGGCCTGACCATGATGAGCTTTATAGGTGAGGAGGAGGATTTTAAATTCTATTCTACATTTTACAGGGAGCCAGTGCAGAGAAGCTAGTACAGGAGAGATGTGATCTCTTTTTCTAGTTCCTGTCAGTACTCGTGCTGCAGCGTTCTGAATTAATTGGAGCGTTTTAATGGACTTATTGGGGCAGCCTGATAATAAAGAGTTGCAGTAATCCAGCCTTGAAGTAACAAATGCATGGATTAGTTTTTCTGCATCTGTCTGTGGCTGACGTAAAAACCTGAAAATGATCAATCTTTCAGAGAAAACGCAGGGCAACACCTCTCTTGCTGACTTTTTCAAGACAACTTTACCGACTTTAGTCGGCTTACCTGTTGACTATCCCTTACTGGAGATTGAACGCGCCCACCGAGCCCTGGCTCCGGCTCCGGCTCCAGACAAGCCCCCGAGAAGTGTCTTGGTCCGGTTTCTACATCTACAGCGATGAAGAAACACGGCATTCACCATGGTGGCTCCCAGCTACGGTTCTACCCTGACCTGTCTGCGTGGGTCCTGCGAAAGCGCTGAGAGTTTGACACCGTGGGGAAAGCGCTGGCTCGTCAAAATAAATATCGTGGATTTGCCTTCCCAGCACGCCTCCGGTGTCTCCACGAAGGTCAAATTTGCCTTTTTGACAACCCTGAGTCTGCGGCTGCATTCCTGGATACTCTTAAATGAGGTAACTTCTTCATCTCTAATGTTGCCACTTATAATGGAGAAGGACGGATCTTATATGTACACTGAGCCCCCACTGAACAATGTGCACTTTTTTCTGAACAATGTGCACTTTTTTGTGACCACCACATGGACTTTGAGAGAATAGTCTGTACAACGGTGCTGATTTAATTTGTACTCTCTCCCTTGGAAATAAGGTGATTTTAGTTTTTTTTTTTTTCCTCTCTCCCTCACCTTTTCGCCCTTTATAACCCAGAATGCATAAAGACTGATCATTTTGCATTGTATTCAGTTTTATCTCATATTCTGCACTGCTTTTTATTTTCCATGATGTTCTCTTGCACATATAGCACTTGCATTTTTTATTTAGCTTTAATAGTTCATATGCCCTTGTACCAACAATCTAAATTTAAAGTAGACCTTGCACATGTTGTGGTCCTAGCACAATTCGGAAACCCATCACTCTGGTGTGTTTCTCAGTGGCGTTCATCATTCAGCCTGGAGTATGGACACTGTTTCGAGTGTCTAAGTTTTTACTGTGATCTAACTGTTAAATTAGGATTTTGATTATGCTTAGAATGCCCAGTGACTTCTTTTGGGGCATTTCTTTCCTGTCGTTTGGGGACAGGATAGGGGAGGGTAAGCGCTGCTATTCAAATTTTTTGTGTTTTAGTTTCCTTTTGCTAGACCACTGGAGTCTAGGTTCACTCTTTATATAATTGCTTGCACCCTGATTAATTCCTCTATACTCAGTACCTGTTACTCAATTACTTTCAAGCTTTGTGGCTCTTATGTCTGGTTCACTTAAACTTACTACTTGGAATGTTCAAGGATTGGGCCATGTAATTAAAAGGAAGAAGATTTTAACATATTTGAAAAAACAAAAATCTGATATAGCATTACTTCAGGAAACAAGGCTATCTGATACAGAACATCTGAAACTCAAAGGTTACTGGGTAGGCAAAGTATACTTCTCCTCCCATTCACAGAACAAGAAAGGCACAGCCATTCTCATAAATAAGAACCTTCCTTTCATCTTGGAGCATGAAGAAAAAGATTCAGAAGGGAGATTTATTTTGATTAGGGCTTCGATTCTTGAACAACATATAACTATTCTCAATATTTATGCTCTGAATAATGATTCACCCCAGTTTATGTCACAAATGATTTTGATGTTTAACCATCATTGCAATGGCCTGGGCTTCTTAGCTGGTGATTTTAATTGTATAATGAATGCTTCTATGGATAAATCCTCCTCTGCAAACATGTCTAACCTAGGAATGGGCGATATGGACCAAAAGTCATATCCCTATATATTTAGGCTGAATATCAATATACGATATATATCCCAGTATTTATTTTTTTTCTGCAGTGAGAGCAAATGGTCAGTCTCTCTCTCTCTCTCTCTCTCTCTCTCTCTCTCCACACACACACACACACACACACACACACACCTACACACGTTGTGAACAGAAGTTAGGCTGCATTATAACTTTTAAATTAATATTTTCAGAAGGCAGTAAGGCTGTTACCACTCACCAAAACTGCTACTGTTATAACACAAGCAAATACAATTATGTTATAACAACTTAACGTAAGTTAACGCTATTACGGAGCTGTACATTAGTTAAGTGTCTGTAACATAACGTTAATGGTATTATAAAGATTTGCTGACTGTAAACAGAACAAGCAACCCATCTCGACTAAAACCACTCAATATTAACGTTGTGTTTTGCTAACATGAATCATGCCTGTTAAGTGTTAACTGATGGCGCCCTTACTCCCTGTATTACGGTAGACTGATATGCTGTACTGCTGTATTGTGAAAGGGTTACGGTACATACAAGACATGACGTCACCACGCTCCCACTGAGCGCTAGTTGTTGTTGTGTGAGCCATGCCGATGAGACGGCGGCACATCAGTCCGCACTTTACTGTTAAATAAATATGCCAAGAGGCTAAAGATAAATTTGAGTATGTTCTACTTATCCTCTATACGCAGTAGAAGACTATGCGCTGCAGTTAATAACCCCATAACCCCATGTTAATAACAATTCAATTTTCAATTTTCAATTTTATTTGTATAGCGCCAATTCATAACAGAAGTTATCTCAGGACACTTTTCAAATAGAGCAGGTCTAGACCGAACTCTTTAACAATGCCGAGCGTAACAAGCTAACGTTACCACGTTAAGTTACCTGTAACATCAGTTAATTACTCAGCAGTTAGCTAACCTAACAGTCTGACAACGTTACAGTCTAAATTATGGATATGAACACAAACATTACGTTAGGTTATTGAATAAGGAGGGGCGGTGGCGGGGGCGTGGGAAGCAGTGCAGAGAGCTCCGGGTCAGCAGCTTCCTTGGAGCAACGATCACAGTGCAAATTTTAACTATATCGATATATGCGATATGGTCTAATTCCATATCACATTTAAAAATATATCGATATATTTTTTATATTGATATATCGCCCAGCCCTAGTCTAACCGGAGATCGTCTGCCGCCTTAAAAATGTATGCACAGATACTGGATTGATAGATATATGGCGACACTTAAATCCTAAAGTGAGGGACTACACGTTTTATTCACATCCTCACAATTCGTATTCTAGACTAGACTATTGTTTTATTCCCAAAAACTTTTTACACTCTGTCCAGACCTGCTGTATAGACCCTATTGTCTTATCAGACCATGCTCTGGTACATCTGTACATTAACCCAGTATTTAACATCCCTAAAACTCCCACTTGGAGATTTAATACGTAATTTTTGAATAGCGACTCTTTTTGCACCTTTGTCCGGAACAACCTATCACAATTCTGGCTCGATAATAAAAGCTCTCCGGTGTCCTCTGCTACAATCTGGGATGCAGCTAAAGCCACTTTACGTGGACACCTTATTTCCTATAGCTCTCATCAGAAAAAAGCCTTAGATGAAAACAGAAAAAACCTTGAAAAAGAAGTGATTAGGCTGGAGCAAATACATAAACAGTCACCCATACCAGCAAACTTAAAGGCACTAGTGGCTGCAAAGACTGAACTTCCTATGGATCATACTCGACATGTCCAGAAGCTATTACTTTACAACAAACAGAATTATTATGAATTTGGTAATAAGTCTAGTTGCCTGCTTGCCCACCAACTGAAAAATCAAAATAATGATCGCTCAATTAACATGATAAGAACACAGAATGGGGATGTCACATGTGATCCAGTGATTGTCAATAGCACATTCTGGGATTTTTATAAATCCCTGTATAGTGTAGAGAAGGCTGACGCCGCTGCTATCGCTTCATATTTGAACAATATTCCTTTGTCTACTATTGCAGAGGAGGATCGCTCCAGCTTAGACACTGCGTTCACGCCGGAGGAGGTCTGGGCCGCAATCCAGTCTATGCCAAATGGGAAGTGTCCAGGCCCAGATGGGTTTCCATTGGAATTTTTTAAGAAATTCTGGCCACAGATCCAACCAATTTTTATGCCTGCCATCAATGGTATTTTAAGAGACAGCATCCGCCCCTCCTGGAGATACGCTTCCATTAGTCTACTTTTAAAAAAAGATAAAAACCCTTTAGACTGTTCATCATTTAGGCCTATTAGTCTTCTCAACGTGGACTACAAAATTGTTGCAAAGACACTGGCTCGGAGATAGGGAAATATCCTTCCGAAAATAATAAACCCAGATCAGGCAGGGTTTGTAAAATCAAGATATGGCACAGACAATGTATGCCGTGCTCTTAATGTTGTTCAGTATCTTAACACTCATAAAAACCCAGCGTTGATAGTCTCCCTTGATGACGAAAAGGCCTTTGACCGAGTGGAATGGTCTTTTCTGTTTCTGGTATTAGAAAAATTCGGTCTTGGCTCTAACTTCAGTAAAAAAACGATTAAAACCTTCTATTCAGACCCAATAGCCACAGTTAATACTAATGGCCTGCTGTCTGATGGCTTCCCGGTGCGCAGGGGCTGCAGACAGGGGTGCCTCGTCACCTTTATTGTTTGTATTATTTATTGAACCTTTGGCCGAGGTCATCAGAATTAACACTGATATATCTGGAGTTAGGATAGGTGAAGAAAAAACACATTATTTCCTTATTCGCAGACAATGCCCTTTTATATCCGAATAAACCTGAGAAATCAATCTCAGCAGTTTTGAAATCTATAGCCACAATCAGTAACTTGTCAGGTTATAAGATTAACCTAGGGAAGTCGGTCGCTACGTCCTTTAATATCCCCCAGGATATGTTAATACACAAGTGTCCAGAAGGAGTTTCAAATACTTGGGTATATTTGTCACTCCTGATTTAAATAAGCTGTTTGAAACGAATTACTCACCCCTAATTCAAAAGATTAAGAATGATCTGACAAAATGGGCCTCCCTACCAACTTCTCTCCTTGAGAGAATCAACACTATAAAAATGAATATTCTCCCTCGATTGAACTATGTATTTCAAAATCTCCCGTGCTATTTGACCCGTGCCTTTTTTAAGTCACTGAATTCTCATATTTCTCGCTATATTTGGAACAACAAACACCAAAGAGTTAAGTTCTCTACACTTACTAAGCCAAAGGATCTGGGAGGCTTGTCCCTGCCCAATCTACAACTATATTATTGGTTAGCACAACTTAAAACAATGTCAAATTGGTTTATGAACAGGAAAGATTCCTTATGGTTGGGTCTTGAATCCGTATTTTGCTATCCCAGAAGGCTTAACTCCCTTCCTTTTATCAATAATATAGATCAGTTAAATCATCTCAAGAACAACATTATTGTTTATAACACACTACTGGTTTGGCTAGATGTAAAGAAATACCTGAATATTCCCCCTGTCATCTCTCTCCATTCTCCCCTGGCTCTAAATCCAGATTTACCAGCACAGATTAGGAGTATTGGTTTGATGGAGTGGACATCCAAGGGCCTGTCAAACTTTACAGACCTGTTGGTCTCCGACTCTGGTAAGTCATTTGAGCAAATCAGGGCTGATTTTAATATTCCACACAAAGATGTTTATAAATATCTCCAAATTCGTCACTTTATAGGGTCTCTCTGGAGGACAGGCGGGATCCATATGAGACTGTCAGAGCTGGAAAACATAGTTCTGCCCAAATCTCCCAAAGGACTGATTTCAAAGATTTATACTTCACTAATTTACTCTGATTCTTCAGGCTATGACTCTCTGAAGCTGTTGTAGGAGCGCGATCTGGAGGTGACGTTCAACCGTGTAGACTGGGACAAGATCTGCAGCGGGGTTTTCCCTAAATGTACTTCAATCTCTATACATGAACAGAACTTTAAATTTATTCACCAAACTTATTACACACCTGTTTGCCTCCAGAGAATGTTCCCTGACACCTCCAACCTTTGTTATAAATGTAATATACACAAAGGTACATTTATCCACTTATTTTGGTCATGTTACCACATCCAGACTTTCTGGAAGGGGGTTCACTCTGTAATCCAGGATGTCACTGGTAAACAGTGTTTGTTGACTCCTTCTTTCTGTCTACTTAACCATGCTCCAGATTTCTCATACACGGACACCCAATCTCTGTTGATAAGCCTTTTGTTTTTGGCAAAAAAAAATGTATCATGCTGCGGTGGTCAACTCCGCAGATCCCTACAGTTGACATGTGGATATCACAGATTTCTGCTCTTATTCCTCTCGAGAAGTTGACTCATGACCTTAATCACAAATCGGACAAGTTTTGGAGGATCTGGGAACCATTGCATTCCTTTTTACAGAAGCCATAACTTATCATCTGTCCCTGGAAGATGAGGACTGTCTGCCCTTCCATTTATTTCATGTATGTGCTCTTCGTTTACCTGTCTCCTGTCGTCTTTTTATTTATTTACTTATTTATTTTATGTATATGTAGAAATATATAGCGCATCGCTCACTGTTAGTATGGGGTGGGACTTTTTTGTTTTGTTGACTGGTTTGTTTGTTTGTTTTTTTCTCTATTGTTTGTGCTTTTAAAAATGAAAAACCAATAAAAATATAATCATTAAACAGAGCTATGTTCTGTATGTAGTAGATTCAATCAATGATCAATAATCAAATCAGACCGGATGAAGGATTTTAGTCATCGGAAGTCTGGATCTTAAGTTATCAGAGAAACAAGCTGAGCTAACGTTACCATTAGCTTGGCTCGCAGCCCCTCCGGGACGTCCTTTGTCTGTCCAACAGCGTGGGAGAAGCAGTGATTTTTAAGGTGGAACTGCTTTATTCAGTGTGTTTAGTGGTTTTAATCAGCGGGTCTGTTTGTGTTGGAGAGGAGGAGACCTCTGTGGATCATTGGGCTCCCGGTAGAAACCTCCTGAACCATGAACACTGAAGGAATCCTAACCGGGAGAAGCTGACTGCAATGACGCCAATGGTGGTGAAGACAACAACTCCCATGATCCCACGCTGCTTCACCACCTCATCACACTTGGGATGTGAAAGACCCCCTAGTGTCAGTTTGTCAGGTTGAAGATGTTTGAAAGCAGCTGTTTTAACCATAAATGTTATTGATAACCATCATCCTCCCTGTGTGTGTGTGTGTGTGTGTGTGTGTGTGTGTGTGTTCAGACCAAGTGTACAGAGAGTGTCAGTCTAACGGCAGCTGGGCTCCTCGAGGAAACTACAGTCAGTGCACCGAGATTATCATCCTGGTGAGACTCATTAATACAAGCACTGATCACTACACTAAATCAATACATTCAAATCAATACACTCCGATCAATACACTTAGATCAATACACTCAGATCAATACACTCATTAGGGCTGTCTCTTTTGACTGAACTCTTCAAATGTGGAAAAAGAATGTTAATATTTGTCTGAAGCCATACCACAGAAGAAGAAGTGAGGAAACAGACGTCCAATCAGCTGAGTGTGGAGGATTTAGTGCCATCTAGCAATGAAATGTCAAATAACTTACTGAAAACCACTCACATCTGTATCTGACAACCTGGGAATAAGAATAATTTGTGAAGAAGAGATAAAGTAGTTGAACTGAAGAATCAACATGTTGCTATAGAAACTGTTTATGTAAACAATGACTCAGCATAAGTCTGAACTCTGATCAATACACTGTTGAATATAATGATTAACTCACCGATTAACTCACTGATCAATACACTGATTAACTCACTGATCAATACACTGATGAATTCATATTTTTCACATGACGTCACACCCTCATCAGAACGCCCACTTGGAGGTAAAACAAGGCTTTCTTTTTGGGAGGGAGATTCTCTCTCCAGTGTTTGGCTGCACCGAAGCACCAGATTGACCTGAATTACATCTTTTGGTGGATTACATTAATTAAGTCCTCTTATTGGCATTTGTTGTACTTGTGATTGTGTCTGATCTCTACCGCTGTCTCTCACACAGAGCTCACAGTGGAGAGGCAGACAGCGAGAGACAGCTGATGATGGCTTCACCAGTAAAAACAGCAGTGTGACAGCTGGTGTAAAATAAAAGATGGGATCAATAAAGCTCAATATAGCCAATCGGATCAGTTAAAAATGCCTTCATTGATCTGAGGACATCTCCAGTCTGTACTTGTGTCTGCTTTCAGTCTGCGGCAGTATGGGGGGAGGGATTCTCCATAAGAGAGATATAAAGATCAAACTGGAGCTCAGGCAGTGACTTATACTATAAATACTGCAGCGGCTTCTGTATGTGGATCACAACAACCCAAAACCTGCAGCTTGTCCACATATCTTTGTTTTTCATCTTTTGAGAGGTGATATAAATATTCATGGTTAAAATGAATGGATATTATTCAAATGCCTTATTTGTGGTTTCTAGTGTAAGTCGCCATATTGGTACGTTGTTTTAGTACGTTAGTATGTTAGTCACATGACTGAAAACCATGAATACACTGATTAACTCAGTGATCAATACACTGATTAACTCAGTCATCAATACCTCCAGTCCTTATCATGATGATGTTCATGTTTTTGCTCTCTGTTGCCTAGCAACATTTTCTTATTCAATGTAAACCTTTTGAACTTGACATTGAAACTGTGAGTCAACAAACTGCATTTTATTATTATTATTATTATTAATATACAGACAGTGACATTATTACAGATATTTTTAGATGATTTGGTTTTTGAATTATTGATTGATTAATGATCCTGAAGCTCTGATGTTATCATGATAATCATCAAACAATCTGGAATCATTTTACCTTCCGATTTATTGTTTTCTGGTCCGTCTTTAGTTTGTGCCTACGGTCTGAATCTAGAGAGACAGGAGAGTCTTCAGTTTGTGCCTACGGTCTAAATCTAGAGAGACAGGAGAGTCTTCAGTTTGTGCCTACGGTCTGAATCTAGAGAGACGGGAGAGTCTTCAGTTATGCTGACAGGTTCAGGATTTTGGCTTCTACTTGTCGTAATTTAAAATAAATCAAGAAGTGATTTTTTTAATTTAACGCTATCGAGCTTTTTCAAGTGCATCGGTCATTGAGCTCTAATATTTATTTAGTTTAGTTATATTTAGTAATATTTTCTATGTATTTATGTCTGTGTGAATACTCAATTCTGATAGGCTGCAAGGTGTCCATTAATTCCTGATAATGGATTGAAATCAGCTGCTTAAATAAACAGTGAACACTACAGACAAACCTCTTTAAAACTTCATGTTTGTCCTAAAAGACCGACCCCCCCACACACACACACACACACACACACACACACACACACACGCAGACACGGGTCCCCACAGACATATAAAACAAGAAAACACTTTCAGGACCTGTGTGTGTATGTGTGTGTGTGTGTGTGTGGTTAACACATATATTGGGTGATAATGTGTTTTTCTGATACAGCCATCTATAATGGATCACACACACTCAGAGGGCACAGATTTGTTCTGACTGTTTGTTGACCTCAAACCACTTAGTACAACCTGTCTTTCTCTCTGTCTGTCTGTCTGTCTGTCTGTCTGTCTGTCCCCATTAAACTAAAACCAACCAACCACTGTCAGAAACACTTCTTCTCCCCCCTAACCCTAAGGCTAAAACACACCATCACTGCAGGGCGTCATAGAACATGTGTCAGGCGTGGCCCCTAGCACAGACAGGACAGTGAGGGTTTATCTGAAGGTAGTTTATGGAACCAGGTTCTGGATGACATTACCGGCTGCTGATAACAAACGCCCCCACCACCGCCATGAGATGGAATTATTTTTCTGTTTTTAAAGTCAGCTGAAACACAACAACCAGCTCAGCACATCTGGACTAAACACACATACACACACAGAGACACACACACAAACACACACACACACACACACACAAACACACAGCCTGAACCAATCAGAGACGTGTGTGACACTATGGATGAGTGAGTGGTGAAAACGTAAGTGTGAACCATCTGGACCCTGTGTGCATGTGTGTGTGTGTGTGTGTGTGTGTGTGTGTGTGTGTGTTTGTGTGTGTGTATGTGTGTGTGTCCATATAACACAGTTAGTGTCTCTTTTTCTGTTTCCCACTGAGAGAATCTGTCGCCTATTTCCCGCTATCCTCTGATTGGAGCACATAGCTGGCTGCAGGCCAATCACAGAGCGGAAATTAAGGTGTGTGTGTGTGTGTGTGTGTGTGTTAATAAATATTCATCATCAGCAGACAACCACACATTCTGATTCTTTGTTTACATGTTTTGGCATAATTTATATTCATAAAAAAACAACAACAAAGATGTAAAGTCAGAATGCAGCTGTAGCCAAGGCAAAAAAAAACACACAAACACACGCACACACACATACTTAATTAATAAAAACTTTAAGGACTGGAGAGTTGTAGGGGTCTTGACACTAGCTGTAGAGGTCTGGGGACTATCTGTAGAGCAAACAAACAAACCAACTGCTGTCTCTGTTTCCTGTTTCCTGTGTGTTCAGAGGAAAAGTAAAGTTCATTATCAGGTTGCTGTGATCATCAACTACCTGGGTCACTGTATCTCTCTGGGAGCACTGCTACTGGCCTTCACACTCTTCATGAGACTCAGGTAATCTGTCTGTCTGTCCGTCTGTCGGTTATTTATTTGTCAATCATTGTCGTCCTGAGGCGTTAAACCACAGCTACTGAAGGGTCTCTGTCACAACAGCAGTCCAGTTGGCAGAAGTTGTGGATTCTACCTTATATACGTTTTATTCAGCAGTCTTTTATCTCGCTGCCTTCAGCCTTGATGCTCAGCTAGGAATCCCACCTACAGGGTTATTGTCTGCAGTGAACAAAAGTACCTGGTACCTAGATTGAGTCAAGCTCTAATCGATTCAGTGGGCAAGAAGAGCAGGACTCCTTCTAGTTCTGACTGATTGACAACAGTTCAATAATGATCATCTGGCTTGGTTGGGACCTGCTGTAGCTGTTATTATAACTGTGACCAGTATTTTCCAGTCCAGTATCCAGTTCTTTTAGTCATTGTTGACCGAATTATGATCTAAACTTTGTGGAGGTCTCTAAAATAACTAATATTAGAGGTGGAGATAAATAATGGTCTGACAGGTGCACTTTCTTTGAGAGAGAAAAATTGAGATGACACCATTCATTATTACTTGTTACATGAAACGATTTCATTATGACTTAAGAATTGTATATTACAACAACCTGAAACTGCCCTGTGATATTATTATTATAACCCTGACGCTTACTCACACACCAACAGTCTTATGTTAGAAAGGAGAAGACTGTCAAATTAGGCTGGTTGGAACATTTGAACATATCCCCCGACCTTGGTTCCAAGAACGTTGAACGGAACCGGTTAAGATAAGATAAGATAAGATATTCCTTTATTTGTCCCACAATGGGGGAAATTCCAATGTTGCAGCAGCAAAGTGGATAGAAAAAAACAGTCTAAAAACAGTAGGAGTAGGAAAAAATAATACATAAAAACACTATGTACAAGAGAAAAAACAGTAAGAATCCACAACAGTACGAATCCACAAACAGATAACACAAATATTACAACAGTAGCAACAGATAACACAAATAGTACAACAGTAACAGCAGATAACACAAATATTACAACAGTAACAACAGATAACACAAATATTACAACAGTAACAACAGATAACACAAATATTACAACAATTACAACAGATAACACAAATATTACAACAGTAACAACAGATAACACAAATATTACAACAATAACAACAGATAACACAAATAGTACAACAGTAACAACAGATAACACAAATAGTACAACACAAATATTACAACAGTAGCAACAGATAACAAATATTACAACAATAACAACAGATAACACAAATAGTACAACAGTAGCAACAGATAACACAAATAGTACAACAGTAACAGCAGATAACACAAATATTACAACAGTAACAACAGATAACACAAATATTACAACAATAACAACAGATAACACAAATTTTACAACAGTAACAACAGATAACACAAATATTACAACAATTACAACAGATAACACAAATAGTACAACAGTAACAACAGATAACACAAATATTACAACAATAACAACAGATAACACAAATAGTACAACAGTAACAACAGATAACACAAATAGTACAACACAAATATTACAACAGTAGCAACAGATAACAAATATTACAACAATAACAACAGATAACACAAATAGTACAACAGTAACAACAGATAACACAAATAGTACAACACAAATATTACAACAGTAGCAACAGATAACACAAATATTACAACAATAACAACAGATAACACAAATAGTACAATTAGTAAAAATAGTACAAATTGTAGCAGTAGCACATGGGCAATAGATTGCACAGTGAAATGAAATATTGCACGTTGAAGAGAGAACCAGAGCTCATCTGGTAGAAGAACAGAGCAAAATGAGGCGTTCAGGGACATCCAGGTTCTGAGAATGTTTGTAGATCTCAGCAGAGAAATAAAACTGAACTGAGGTCAGCTGGTTTATCAGCTGATTGAGACTCTAATGAACCTGAAGGATCCGGATTCTGTCTCATCCTTTGATCCTCATAAACAAACAGCCAGTGTGTGTGTGTGCTGGGTGATGTCCAGTCATTGTTGGAGGATTAAGGATCAAACAGAGTCGGAGGAGGAGGATTAGAGAAATGAAGCTTCAGTCCAACAGATTCCTTTCTAGTTTAGTGTCTCATCCTGTTCTGTTGTTTTTAATCCTTTTTTTCATTGAAACCTTTAAAGATGTTAGTGTAAAATCTAGGGATGTCCAGATTAGAGCTGCACAATTAATCAAAATATTATTATTATATATTATCAAAATAGCAGCATGGTGCAATCTGCAAATTGGAGAATAATAATGTAATATAATGTTTTGATAAAGAGACAGATAAGAGACAGTTTCAATATTAAAGGACAGATGAAATATTCTCTCCATAAACCGCTCTACTCTGCTCTACAAAGGCAAACTCCACTAATATTATGGTCAAAATTCAGTTCTTTTTTTTATCCTTTGACAAAGGTTTAGTCTCGCTCTTTCTTAAAGAAAAATTGCCCAAAACTAAACCGCAGTAAGTGTAGTTACTAGGTTTATCATTTTAGTAGATTAAATCTCATAAAATACTTTAATTCTTCTGAATTCCTAATCTATTTCAACTTTGTACACAGTAAACAGAAATCCAGATTTAATGTAATAAAAGTAGATTTAGTCAGGAAGTAGTTACTGCACTCTGTCCGTGCCCTACCTATATATCTGTTTATGTAATACAAAGACACAGTTTACGGGGCAGAGGTCAAATAATTGGTCATGATTTTAAAGCCATAAGAATTACTTAGAGAATTCATATTTAATAAGAAAAAAGCTGCTGTTCTACATAAAACATATTTGGATGGACAGTCAACAAAGTTTTTTATTCACCTATATGAAATATTCCTCTAGTTCTCATTGGTCAGAGCAGCCTAAAGGCTCATTAACAGATCAATATCTCAAGTTTATGGTCATTGATCATAAGTTCATTACCTGTGTGTGTGTGTGTGTGTGTGTGTGTGTGTGTGTGTGTGTGTGTGTGTGTTGCAGGAGTATCCGCTGTCTGAGGAACATCATCCACTGGAATCTGATCTCAGCGTTCATCCTGAGGAACGCTACCTGGTTCATTGTGCAGTTAACGATGAACCCCGCTGTTACCGAGAGCAACCAGGTAACCCTACACGCACACACTGTCCCTGATGACGGTCACCATGGAGAGGAGGTGATCTGCTCTGATGATGTGATTAAACTCAGGGGACAATTCAATTCAATTCAATTCAATTTTATTTGTATAGCGCCAATTCATAACAGAAGTTATCTCAGGACACTTTTCAAATAGAGCAGGTCTAGACCAAACTCTTTAAAACATTATTTACAGAGACCCAACAGTACCACCATGAGCAAGACCTTGGAGACAAGGGCAAGGAAAAACTGCCTGTTAAAAGGCAGAAACCTAGGACAGATCCTCCGGCTCTAGGTGGGTGGTCGTCTGTCTTGACCAGTTGGGGTGAGAGAGAGAGAGAGAGAGAGAGAGAGAGAGGCAGAGAGAGAGAGAGAGTGAGAGACAGACAGACAGGTGCACAGCAACAACAGTATTGGCAATGGCAATCTAGCAGGACCATGGCAGGAGGCTCCACCAGGATCGACAAGAACCTGCAAGACGAGAAAGCAGAATAACTCCGGGGAAGAAGTGCAGTTAGTAACATGCATTAATGGGACATGAATGAGTGCAGAAAGAGAGAGGAGGGGAGGAGCTCAGTGCACCATGGGAAATCCCCCGATAGTCTAGGCCTATAGCAGCATAACTAAGGGATGGTTCAGGACTCACCTGATCCCGCCCTAACTATAAGCTTTATCAAAGAGGAATGTCTTAAGCGTACTCTTGAATGTGGTGAGGGTGTCTGCCTCCCGAACCACAAATGGAAGCTGGTTCCACAGGAGAGGAGCTTGGTAACTGAAGGCTCTGGCTCCTGTTCTACTTTAAGAGACTATAGGAACCACAAGTAGCCCAGCATTCAGAGAACGTAGTGTTCTAGAGGGGTAATAGGGTACTATGAGCTCTTTAAGATATGAAGGAGCCTGACCATGAAGAGCTTTATAGGTGAGGAGGAGGATTTTAAATTCTATTCTACATTTTACAGGGAGCCAATGCAGAGAAGCTAGTACAGGAGAGATGTGATCTCTTTTTCTAGTTCCTGTCAGTACTCGTGCTGCAGCGTTCTGAATTAATTGGAGCGTTTTAATGGACTTATTGGGGCAACCTGATAATAAAGAGTTGCAGTAATCCAGCCTTGAAGTAACAAATGCATGTATTAGTTTTTCTGCATCTGTCTGTGATAGGATGTGTCTAATTTTTCTAATATTACGTAAATGAAAGAAGGCGGTCCTAGAGGTCTGCTTTATGTGGGAGTTAAATGACAAATCCTGATCAAAGATAACTCCGAGATTCCTGACAGTGGTGCTAGAGGCCAAGTTAATGCCATCTAGAGTAACTATATCTTTAGACAGTGAGTCTCTAAGGTTTTTGGGGCCAAGAACAAGAATTTCGTTTTTTTCTGAGTTTAACATCAGAAAATTGCAGGTCATCCAGGATTTTATGTCCTTAAGACATGTTTGTAATTTAGATAATTGATTAATTTCATTGGGCTTGATTGATAGATATAACTGCGTATCATCTGCCTAACAGTGAAAGTTAGTGGAGTGATTCCTAACAATGTTGCCTAAAGGCAGCATATATAAAGTAAATAGTATTGGTCCAAGTACAGAACCTTGTGGAACTCCATGACTAACTGTAGTATTTATTGAAGATTCATCGTTAACATGTACAAACTGCGAGCGATCTGATAAATATGACTTAAACCAGCTTAGTGCGGTTCCTTTAATGCCAATTTGATGCTCAAGTCTCTCTAAAAGAATATTATGGTCAATGGTGTCAAATGCAGCACTAAGATCTAATAATACAAGTACAGAGACAAGTCCATTGTCAGAAGCAGTCAGAAGGTCATTATTAACTTTAACCAGAGCTGTCTCTGTGCTGTGATGAACTCTAAATCCTGACTGAAAATCCTCAAATAAACTATTGTTACGTAGAAATTAACACAACTCTTTGGCGACTACTTTCTCCAGAATCTTAGAGAGGAAGGGGAGGTTAGAAATCGGTCTATAGTTGGCTAAAACCCCTGGGTCAAGAGTGGACTTTTTAAGAAGGGATTTAATTACAGGTACTTTAAAGGACTGTGGTACATATCCTGATAATAAAGAAAGATTAATCATATCCAGTAAAGAAGTGCCAATTAAGGGAACAACTTCTTTAAGCAGCCTAGTTGGGATCGGGTCTAATAGACAGGTTGATGGCTTCGATGAAGAAATGATTGAAGTTAACTGATGAAGATCGATAGCAGAAAAACAGTCTAAATATATGTCTAAGTTTACATTGACAGAAGTCCCTGAACTTGGAGAGCCACTGATAACTGTTGATGGCAGTTGGTAATTAATTTTTTCTCTAATAGTAATAATTTTATTATAGAAGAAGCTCATGAAGTCATTGCTACTTAAGTTTATGGGGATATGTGGCTCAATAGAGCTGTGACTCTCTGTCAGCCTGGCTACAGTGCTGAAGAGGAACCTAGGGTTATTCTTATTTTCTTCTATTAGAATTGGTGGTACTGTTGGGTCTCTGTAATTAATGTTAAAGAGTTCGGTCTAGACCTGCTCTATTTGAAAAGTGTCCTGAGATAACTTCTGTTATGAATTGGCGCTATACAAATAAAATTGAATTGAATTGAATTGAATTAGTGCTGAGTAATAGGCTCCTCTGGCATTACGGAGGGCCTTTCTATAAATTTTAAGATTATCTTGCCAATTTGAGCGATATTCTGATAATTTGGAAGAGCGCCATTTCCTTTCAGATTTCCTAGCTATTTGTTTTAACTGGCGGGTTTGGTGGTTATACCAAGGTGCTAGTCTCCTATGTTTTAATAATTTCAACAGTGTTTTAAACCAGCATTCTCTCTAACAGCCAGCAGGGAGCAGCTCCACTCTGATAGTATTGAGTCTTATGGAGAAGTTGATTCATGAGCTCAGTAAACAGTTTCCTGATGGGTTTCTGGTCTCTAGTTTCAGCCTTAGGGCGGGCTATCTTGGGATTGACAGCTCATTCTCAGTGAGTCTGTCCAGCTCAATGCACCAAACTCAGATCAAACTGTCAAACTAGGCAGTGCTGATCAGATATGGATCCAGATTCTGTTGTTGACTATTTCTCTCCACAAAACTGTTCACAAACATGGTACCAGATCAACGTCCTTTGAGGGAGAACTGGCAGCTACAGTGATGCCCGCTAGGTATGACATAGCACAGTTTGTTAAAAAGCAATGCTGGCTGCTAAAGAGGTTAGCATAGCATAGCTGCTAACAGCAGCATCAGTTTTATCAGAACTGGAAAGTATTTCTTCATTGAAATACGAGTAAAGAACAACACTAGCTTTAGAAAGCTTTTCTTTCTTTTTCAGTAGGAGTTTGACTGCATTATATTGTTCATTGATCTGATTGGTTGATAGACGGTGATAGATAGATGGTCCATCCAATCAGCTGCAGAGTATTTTTTGAAAGTGCCTGCCACAGTTTTCAAGAACAACTTTCCACATGGTTCTGTGGGGGAAATCATCTGAAGCAGCTGAGTTGAAACAGAATGCCGCCAATGAGCAGCCCAACCGCTAAAAAAACAACATGGTGATGACCATAACGCCGAAGGCAATAAAACAATGGATAATGATTCACACTAGACTGAAACAAGCCATGACCTTCAGACTGGGACTCTTTAACTCTACACTATTACACTGACATCACACTGTGCAGTCTTTGTTTTCTCACTGGTTACTATGACAACAAAGAAAATGAGGATAAAAAGTAAATATTAGATTAGATTAACTCTTTGTTTTCTCTTCCTCCTCCTCTTCCTCCTCTCCTCCTCAGGTGTGGTGCAGGTTGGTGACGGCAGGTTATAATTATTTCCATGTCACAAACTTCTTCTGGATGTTTGGTGAAGGCTGTTACCTCCACACGGCCGTCGTTCTCACCTACTCCACCGACAAGCTCAGGAAGTGGATGTTCATCTGCATCGGCTGGGGTTTGTCTACCTGCACCTGTCTGTCTACATGTACCTGTCTGTCTACCTGTACCTGTCTATAGCTTTACCTGGGTACCAGTCCTCCTGTGGGCTTACCTGTACACCTGTCGGTCTGTTGACAGGTATTCCATTTCCTATCATTGTGGCGTGGGCTTTTGGGAAGCTTTACTACGACAACGAGAAGTAAGTCACATGATCAGGATATAGCTGTCCCTTTCACCTCATACATTAGCTAATGAAGCATTAGCACTGTTGCTATGGTTGCTTGCAGGTTACCTGGTTTATGTTACCTGACAGTCCACAATGTCCAGAACCAGCAGTGATCTGATTAGTGATTGTGTTTTGATTGACAGGTGCTGGTTTGGAAAGAGGGCAGGGGTTTACACAGACTATATCTACCAAGGCCCCATGATCCTGGTCCTGCTGGTAAGAACAAAGCCAATCCACCTTAAATCCTGTCTATCTGAACTGCGCACTGTCACTGTCACTGTCAGTCCACCTTAAATCCTGTCCCTCTGCAGAGAACTGACTAGACTTCCTATGATCTCTGGGTCATCACAGCAGGCGGACTTGTTTAAAAAACACCTTGACCTGCTTTCTCCACTCTGAGAAAACCATACCGGCACACTAAACAACATCAGTAGTTTTATTGGTATTGTTCTGGTGATGAATCTCTGAGTGACCGGCCACAAACAAACCTGCAAAGACTCACTGAGGACATTAATGGAAGAAAACACTTCCTTCTGAGAGGCAGAAACCTCGGACAAACCCCGGCTCTAGGTGGTTGGGAGAGAGAGAGAGAGAGAGAGAGAGAGACAGAGAGAGAGACACACACACAGAGAGACAGACAGAGAGAGAGAGAGAGAGAGAGACAAAGGTGCACAGCACACAGCAACAGTAGCAACAGCTACACTAATAGTAGTGACTGCTGATGATGATGATGATGACCATAAAGAAGATGAAGACAACAACGTCAACAACAATGGGGGACAATGAGCAGTGATTATAGTAATAATAGAAACTGTAGTAATAATAATAGTAATATTAATAATAATAACAATATATATATATATATATATAATAAAATAATTTCCCCCTGGGATTATTAAAGTATTTTAAAGTATTTCTGATATATATATATTCATAACAGAAGTTATCTCAGGACACTTTTCAAATAGAGCAGGTCTAGACCGAACTCCTCATAACATTATTTACAGAGACCCAACAGTACCACCATGAGCAAGACCTTGGAGACGGGGGCAAGGAAAAACTGCCTATTAAGAGGCAGAAACCTAGGACAGACCCATAGGCTCTAGGTGGGTGGTCGTCTGCCTCGACCAGTTGGGGTGAGAGAGAGAGAGAGAGAGAGAGAGAGGTGCACAGCAACAACAGTACGAATAACTACACTAATGGTAGTGACTGATGATGATGAACATGAGGAAGATGATGACGACGACAACAGCGACGATGGGGGACAATGAGCAGTGACAATAGTAATAATAGAAGCTGTAATAATAATAATAATAATAATAACAATAATATCAGTGATATTAGCAATGGGAGTCAAGCAGGACCATGGCAGGAGGCTCCACCAGGATCCATGAGAACCTGCTAGACCAGAAAGCTCAAGAACTCCGGGGAAGAAGTAAAATTAGTAACATGCATTAATGGGACATGAATGAGTGCAGAAAGAGAGAGAGAGGAAGAGAGGAGCTCAGTGCATCATGGGAAATCCCCCGATAGTCTAGGCCTATAGCAGCATAACTAAGGGATGGTTCAGGACTCACCTGATCCAGCCCTAACTATAAGCTTTATCAAAGAGGAATGTCTTAAGCCTACTCTTGAATGTGGTGAGGTTGTCTGCCTCCCGAACCACAAATGGAAGCTGGTTCTACAAGAGAGGAGCTTGGTAACTGAAGGCTCTGGCTCCTGTTCTACTTTTAGAGACTATAGGAACCACAAGTAGCCCAGCATTCAGAGAACGTAGTGTTCTAGAGGGGTAATAGGGTACTATGAGCTCTTTAAGATATGAAGGGGCCTGACCATGAAGAGCTTTATAGGTGAGGAGGAGGATTTTAAATTCTATTCTAAATTTTACAGGGAGCCAGTGCAGAGAAGCTAGTACAGGAGAAATATGATTTATTTTCCTAGTTCCCATCAGTACTCGTGCTCCAGCGTGTTGAGATAATTGTAGTGTTTTAATGGACTTATTGGGGCAACCCGATAATAATAATTAGAAAGCGACTGCTGGGAGTCAGCGTCAGTCTCATCAATCAATCTCTTCTTCTCCTCAGATTAACTTTGTCTTTCTGTTCAACATTGTTCGGATCCTGATGACCAAACTGAGGGCGTCTACCACCTCAGAGACCATCCAGTACAGGTACGAGTTACTTCACAGTACAACACAGAAGTACCTTTAAACAGGTGAACAAACAGGTAACAACACAACTAACCAACTACAAAGTCAGGTCTACTGAGAGAGTACAGCTGGAAGGATGTAACTCTTTGTAACAGTCCAGATACCTGAATGGGTGTCCATTATCAGGAATTAGGTCCCAGCCTGCTGCCAATCAGAATCAATCAATGGTAAATAAGATGTACATCCCATGTGAATCCCATTTGTACCTGCTGGTATTTTGTAATAAGGGAAGCATCCAGTCCACTGACTGTGCTGTCAGTCACATGTTGTAGACAGTAAGGTTGAATCCTGTTATTGTGATATATCTCTCTCTCTCTGTCTCTGTCTCTCTCTCTCACCCTAACTGGTCGAGGCAGACGACCACCCACCTAGAGCCGAAGGATCTGTCCTAGGTTTCTGCCTCTTAATAGGCAGTTTTCCTTGCCCTTGTCTCCAAGGTCTTGCTCATGGTGGTTCAATTCAATTCAATTCAATTCAATTTTATTTGTATAGCGCCAATTCATAACAGAAGTTATCTCAGGACACTTTTCAAATAGAGCAGGTCTAGACCGAACTCTTTAACATTAATTACAGAGACCCAACAGTACCACCATGAGCAAGCACTTGGCGACAAGGGCAAGGAAAAACTGCCTGTTAAAAGGCAGAAACCTAGGACAGATCCTCCGGCTCTAGGTGGGTGGTCGTCTGTCTCGACCAGTTGGGGTGAGAGAGAGAGAGAGAGAGAGAGAGAGAGAGAGAGAGAGCGACAGACAGACAGACAGGTGCACAGCAACAACAGTATTGGCAATGGCAGTCAAGCAGGACCATGGCAGGAGGCTCCACCAGGATCCATGAGAACCTGCGAGACGAGAAAGCACAAGAACTCCGGGGAAGAAGTGGAGTTAGTAACATGCATTAATGGGACATGAATGAGTGCAGAAAGAGAGAGGAAGAGAGTAGCTCAGTGCACCATGGGAAATCCCCCGATAGTCTAGGCCTATAGCAGCATAACTAAGGGATGGTTCAGGACTCACCTGATCCAGCCCTAACTATAAGCTTTATCAAAGAGGAATGTCTTAAGCCTACTCTTGAATGTGGTGAGGGTGTCTGCCTCCCGAACCACAACTGGAAGCTGGTTCCACAGGAGAGGAGCTTGGTAACTGAAGGCTCTGGCTCCTGTTCTACTTTTAGAGACTATAGGAACCACAAGTAGCCCAGCATTCAGAGAACGTAATGTTCTAGTGGGGTAATAGGATACTATGAGCTCTTTAAGATATGAAGGGGCCTGACCATGAAGAGCTTTATAGGTGAGGAGGAGTATTTTAAATTCAATTCTACATTTTATAGGGAGCCAATGCAGAGTAGCTAGTACAGGAGAGATGTGATCTCTTTTTCTAGTTCCTGTCAGTACTCGTGCTGCAGCGTTCTGAATTAATTGGTACTGTTGGGTCTCTGTAAATAATGTTTTAAAGAGTTCGGTCTAGACCTGCTCTATTTGAAAAGTGTCCTGAGATAACTTCTGTTATGAATTGGCGCTATACAAATAAAATTGAATTGAATTGAATTGAATTGAATAGAATATATGTGTTGTTTCTGTAGGAAGGCAGTGAAGGCGACTCTGGTGCTGCTGCCTCTGTTAGGAATCACCTACATGTTGTTCTTTGTGAATCCTGGAGGAGAAGACGAAGTCGCTCAGATTGTCTTCATCTACTTCAACTCCATTCTGGAGTCCTTCCAGGTTCGTCTGATCTCTGTTGACCTTTCCAAGTGGCCCTAAAATTTAACCTAAACTCTAACCTGAATCTGAGCTAAGCTAATTAGCTATTAGCAAAGTTAACAGCTAACACTCTTCCTCTGTCTGTCTCTACAGGGTTTTTTTGTCTCAGTTTTCTACTGTTTTCTCAACAGTGAGGTAATTGTCACTTCTGTTTATTCTACTATTCTTCCCCCTTTGTGTCTGTGGTGTTCCACACATTTCTAAACTGGGACCCATTTTGCTGTTATTATTTTGAATTATCTTTATCAGTGTTGGACTAGTTACTCATTACTCTTTTCGAATATAATATCACTTAATATTACTTTTTTAGCTATGCCTCACATAGTGTCCTTTCTGCACAAAATTGACACTGATGATAATTAAAATCCAGTTTTGATTGTCAAAATCAAAGTAATGGAATATTCCAGCTCCTGAATGTTTCCATCTTCCAAACTAGTTTCCTTTGTGATTACAAAAGTGAATCCAAGGATGTGATTAATTGTTGGATTTCAGATCAGTAGGAGGAGACAACAAGAGCAGTGTAACTAATAACTTTAATTAGAAAGTAACTGTAATATTATTACTTTTATTAGTAATTAGTTACACTACTAGTTTACATTACTGTATTATTATTACTGGTAATGCCCTCCTGCCCAACACTAATCTTTAAACTGGTTGTGTCTCAGGAGCTAGAGTAGGTTGCTCACTAATCAGAATGTTGAAGTGTTCTTGAGCACAATACTGAACCCCAAACTGCTCCTGATGCTGAATCATCAGTCAATGAATGTGTGTGAATGGGTGAATGTGACCTGTACTGAGAAGTGCTGTATAAGTGCAGTCAATGCAGACTCACACCAACATACTTAAGTGTCTCAACCTGTCTGTCTGTTGGTCTGCAGGTGCGCTCCGCGGTCAGGAAGCATTGGATTCGTTGGCAGGACCGTCACTCCTTCCGAAGCCGGGCGGTGCGCGCCACATCACTTCCCACCTCACCGAGCAGAGTGTCCTTCCACAGCATCAAACAGTCCTCCAACCTCTGACAGACGGACAGACAGACAGACAGACAGACAGACTGTGTCTCTGTTGGACCTGAACTTATCCAACTACAGTCCATGGTTTCATTCCAGTCAGCTGCTCAGATGCTTTATTCTGCATCAGGACCAGATTTAACCAACCAGTGGATCAGTTCAGACCAGCCAATCACAGTGCAGGACACAGATTTGCGGGGCCAATCAGATGGAGACCTGTAAGTGAAGACTCTGCAAGGCCCCGCCCCTCTTCCAATCACCAATCACTGGACTCGACCAATCAGCCGCTTCCACAGGGTCACAGACACTCAGGCAGCTGGACTGTGTTCATATAATCAAGTTTATTTATTGATTAGTGTTATTGATGAGCTATATATGTGTATATTGTAATATTGATCACCAGCTTTCTCCTGTTTAACAGAGCTAACAGCACACACACACAAACAGGACAAAGTGTCCTGAGATAACTTGTCCAATTCATAACAGATAACTTCTGTTATGAATTGGCGCTATACAAATAAAATTGAATTGAATTGAATTGAACACACACACACACACACACACACACAGTAGATGGCAGTAATTATCTCAAACAGTGTGTGATATGACACTCTGGATGAAGTCCCTCAGCATTGATCATCATTGATTATCTACAATCAGAATATTTAGTTCAACATGTACTTCATTCAATTCAATTCAATTCAATTTTATTTGTATAGCGCCAATTCATAACAGAAGTTATCTCAGGACACTTTTCAAATAGAGCAGGTCTAGACCGAACTCTTTATAACATTATTTACAGAGACCCAACAGTACCACCATGAGCAAGCACTTGGCGACAAGGGCAAGGAAAAACTGCCTGTTAAAAGGCAGAAACCTAGGACAGATCCTCCGGCTCTAGGTGGGTGGTCGTCTGTCTCGACCAGTTGGGGTGAGAGAGAGAGAGAGAGAGAGAGAGAGGCAGAGAGAGAGAGCGAGAGACAGACAGACAGACAGACAGGTGCATAGCAACAACAGTATTGGCAATGGCAATCTAGCAGGACCATGGCAGGAGGCTCCACCAGGATCGACAAGAACCTGCGAGACGAGAAAGCACGGAAGAAGTGAAGTTAGTAACATGCATTAATGGAACATGAATGAGTGCAGAAAGAGAGAGGAAGGGAGGAGCTCAGTGCATCATGGGAAATCCCCCGATAGTCTAGGCCTATAGCAGCATAACTAAGGGATGGTTCAGGACTCACCTGATCCAGCCCTAACTATAAGCTTTATCAAAGAGGAATGTCTTAAGCCTACTCTTGAATGTGGTGAGGGTGTCTGCCTCCCGAACCACAACTGGAAGCTGATTCCACAAGAGAGGAGCTTGGTAACTGAAGGCTCTGGCTCCTGTTCTACTTTAAGAGACTATAGGAACCACAAGTAGCCCAGCATTCAGAGAACGTAGTGTTCTAGAGGGGTAATAGGGTACTATGAGCTCTTTAAGATATGAAGGGGCCTACCCATGAAGAGCTTTATAGGTGAGGAGGAGGATTTTAAATTCAATTCTACATTTTACAGGGAGCCAATGCAGAGAAGCTAGTACAGGAGAGATGTGATCTCTTTTTCTAGTTCCTGTCAGTACTCGTGCTGCAGCGTTCTGAATTAATTGGAGCGTTTTAATGGACTTATTGGGGCAACCTGATAATAAAGAGTTGCAGTAATCCAGCCTTGAAGTAACAAATGCATGGATTAGTTTTTCTGCATCTGTCTGTGATAGGATGTGTCTAATTTTTGTAATATTACGTAAATGAAAGAAGGCAGTCCTAGAGGTTTGCTTTATGTGGGAGTTAAATGACAAATCCTGATCAAAGATAACTCCAAGATTCCTGACAGTGGTGCTAGAGGCCAAGGTAATGCCATCTAGAGTAACTATATCTTTAGACAGTGAGTCTCTAAGGTTTTTGGGGCCAAGAACAAGAATTTCGTTTTTTTCTGAGTTTAACATCAGAAAATTGCAGGTCATCCAGGATTTTATGTCCGTAAGACATGTTTGTAATTTAGATAATTGATTAATTTCATTGGGTTTGATTGATAGATATAACTGCGTATCATCTGCATAACAGTGAAAGTTCATGGAGTGATTCCTAATAATGTTGCCTAAAGGGAGCATATATAAAGTAAATAGTATTGGTCCAAGTACAGAACCTTGTGGAACTCCATGACTAACTGTAGTTACTTCATTAACCACATTCACTTCAGTAATCATATTTATTTCAATCTGGACACTTAAATAGTCAAACAAAAAAGTCTGCACCAGAACTCTTCCAGAGCTCCACCACTGCAGCTGAAAGTCCTGAACACATCACAAAGAGAGCAGCCACCAGGGTCCACTCTGACCAACTGGAAATATTCATCTTGCTCTGTTGCACTAAAGAAAAAATACCAGCTGAACATCAGGGGGCGCTATATACAAATGTATTCATTATAACAATTATAACAAATTCTGGGGATTCATATTCATCATTATCTATTAAAAAACAAAATTATATAATTAATTGATTATAATGAATGCATACAGACACTCCGGGAATTTATCTTTAATATGCTGATGATGTGTTTTTGTACCTTGAATATTTTCTTTCCATGAGACGGACACAGAACAGTTGAAAATATATATTTATCATAAATTGTAATTGTTGTTGTGCACATTTGCACAGTTGTAAATCTTAAATAAGAGTTTGGGGTTAGATAGAGGTCAGTAGTACTAACAGTAACCATAGTAACTGCAGTAACCGTAGTAACCGTAGGTTAGATAGTAACTGTAAGTCTGTGTAAAGGAAAATACTCAGGATGAAACACAAACTGCCCCTCTTCCTCCTTTTCCCTGAACTCATCTTCATCATTGTGCCTTGTGTGTGTGTGTGTGTGTGTGTGTGTGTGTGTGTGTGTGTGTGTAGAAATTATTTCAAATCTTATTTTTTTGTAAATATTGAATTTATAATAACATCAGATTAAAATCTAATTTATAGTTTCAGTGAGATGAGGAGCACTTGTTTTGGCTACCCAGACACTTGAATAAATGAAAGGTGGAGTGGATATTGTGACCCTGCTGTGTCTTCTGATATTTAATAAATCGATTAATCAACAGGATCAATGTTGTTTTCTGGAATAGAAACATTAACAGGAAGTAAAGCTGTGACCTTACCATGACCTGCACTTTATTCCACTTCCTGTCCTCCACCTGTCTGAATGGTCTCCATGGTAACCTGGCTGTCCCGGGTAAATGGGGGGGTCAGGTACAATCACGTCCCAAGTGGCCGTTTCCACAGAGACTGGAGTCAGGCCTCAGTGGCTCCTGACAACGGGATTGACCTCTGACCCGTGAGGTCAGCTGTGATCTGCCAGACCAGATTAGTGTGACATCTTGACCCTCCCCTCATCTATGACATCACTGCAATGTCTGAAACTCATTGGATGTAGACAGTTTGAGTTTAGAATGAAACAGACAGAGAGGTGCTGTCGATCAGTAATAATACTAATAATCATTGTTATTTTATTGTTAAATAAATATGAACATTCATTATTAAAACTACATGTGTTAGTTCTGTACTCCTCCAGAGAGTATCATTGGTAGTAGTAGAAGTTATTAGCAATAATTAGGGACCGAGCCAGTGACCGCTGGAGGTCCCTATTGTTTTTGCTCGATTTCTTCTTCTTACCTATTATTTTTAGCCCCCTTTGACTGCATTTTTGCCCCCCTGAACATATATAAAAACTCAGTTTTATTTGGCAAAGTTGTCAGGCCTGGTGAAAATGGGGTATATTCTATGCGTCGCTTTCAGGTTGGCCACTAGGTGGCGCTACTATCATAAAAAATGCGTTTAGGCTAGTAACTTCTGCATTGTTTGTCGCACATTCAAAATCCTTGTATCCACGCGTTCGGTGAATAGAGCTAAATCTCCCCATGTAAGCCCCGCCCACTTCCGCCTAGATTTTTCTTTTCTAGAGCGCGATATGTTCATAAACTACTTTTCCGTGTTCCTCCCATGTCCGATTCGCACGAAATTTTTCACGTAGCATGTGGGGACCGTCCTTATTAATAAGTAATCCAAAGAATTTTGATATTTAAAAAAATAAGCACATTATAAAATGAACACTTCATGTGGATTTTTCGTCAAAAAAGGAAGTGGACCATTTCTCCACATTGCTATGTCTGATTTTCACCAAACTTGGGTCCATAGTTACTCATGTCTTTCTCAGGCATCATGCACAATTTCAGGTCATCACCACTAGGTGGCGCTCTTTAAAATGAAGAAGTTTATATCTCTGCAACGGCACGTGTGATTAAAATGAAACTTGGTACAATGATTGCCCATGGCTCCCTGAGGCTCACTTAAAAAGGACAAAAAAGAGGGGACCGGAGGTTTCGATATGGAGTAGATGTGTGTTAGGGGAGCTCCATCCCGACTTCACCATTTGCCTCACACATAAGACATTTAATCATCGTTTCGTGCGCCAGAAGTAAACTACAACATCTTAGTCAAGATGAAGAAAGCTGGTAAACAGAAGAAGCAAGACAAGGGTCCCGAGGAGGACGACTTTGGTGACAACTGCGCCATGCTAACACACGCGTGTGAAGCTAGCGCTAGCATAACTAACTCCTCAGCTCATACTACTATTGAAGACATCCTGACAGCCATAAACGTGCTGAGCAGCAGGGTCGACATGAGGTTCACCGAGCTCAATGGAGTTATTTCGGACTTTAAAGCTGCCCTAACCGAAGTCAGCGAGCGGGTGTCATCTACTGAGGCTGCCACCAAGTCACACGAGAGGCAACTAGAGGGGCTTGAGAAGCGGTACGATATGTTGGCTTCCCAGTACAAGCAGCAAGAAGCTAAACTAGACGACCTTGAGGCCCGCTCACGCAGGCAGAATATTCGTATTGTCGGGATTAAGGAGAAAACGGAAAATGGCCGGCCTACGGAGTTTGTGTCTAAATTGCTTTCTAAACTGCTTGGAGAGGAGCATTTCAACCTCCCAATAGAAGTGGACCGGGCCCACAGGAGCTTGGCTCCGGCTACAGGCGGCAAAGCGAGAGCCATCATCGCTAGGATACACTACTATCAGGTGAAAGAGCTTGTGCTACGGCTCGCAAGAGAGAAGGCTCCTCTACAATATGATGGGCGCCCGGTGTACATCTTTCCGGATCTTACTGCAGCCACGATGAAGAAACGTCAGGCTTTTCGAGCCATCAGGGAGAAGTGCAGGAGCGGGTCGATCCGGTGTGGATTCCGACACCCAGCGCAGTTCGTGGTCACGGTCAATAACAACACTGGCACGTTTACCACCCCGGCCGAAGCCGAGAAGTTCTTCAGGTCACCAGCGCTGCTGCAAGCTGGGGAACGGACTAATGTCCCGGACGCGTTAAGCGATAAATGCTGCCACACTGAAGGATGGCGTGAGTTGTCGTTGTTTAACAAAGACTGCCAGTTCATAAGGTATGTCCATGTTTTGCTTGTGTGAGGACTAATAAGTTTTATTTTCTCCTCAATGTTTGCTCGTGAAGCGGGGTGTCTCGTCTCCCCTGTTTGGAGAGAGGTGGACAGTTATACCACTAGTCTGGGCCACCAGCTGGTCCCTGAGTCTAGTTTTAACTTAAAGTTAGGGGTATGGAAGCACCGCTCCTGTGTTCATAGGGAGGGTTTTTGTGTTTGTTATGGGGTGTTTTTTCAGCACATCTGTCAGTTTAAGTCTACTGAGTATGCCTTGTCCCACAGTCATGTGTTTTATTTTTTATTTTTATATATATATACAATAGATATATGTTAGCTGATTTACATAGGCACAGTAATGGTAAAGTTAAGATAACTAGCAGGAATGTAAGAGGGATGAACAGCCCAATGAAAAGAGGGAAGGTGTATGCACATTTACGGGCACTTAAATCCGACATATTTTCTCCAGGAGACACACATTAAAAAAACAGCAGCAAAAATACTTTGTCCCTCGTGGGCTTCTCAGGTCTATCAGTCAAACTTTAGTGTAAAAAATCAAGAGGCGTTGCAATTATGATAAGAAAAAATATACCATTTATCCACTCCCAAACGATTTCAGATGAGAGGGGCAGATATGTGATAGTTAGTGGGACCCTGAACTCCATACTATTATTATTAGTAAATATATACGGGCCCAATTTTGACGACCCGCTTTTTTTTCAGAAACTTTATAATGCTCTGCCAAATTTGACGAATTCAAATGTAATCATGGGCAGCGATTTTAACTACGTATAGATCCTGTACTTGATCAACAGCACTCCCAAACTAGTACATTTAGAAGCAGTGGCATACTGAACAACCTTATGCAGTCTTATAATTTGGTGGATGTCTGGAGGCTTCTCCACCCCACCAAGAAGGATTTTTCTTATTTTTCCGCAGTACATAAGTCCTACTCAAGGATTGACTTCTTTTTGATGGATTCTAAGCTGCTACAGTCAGTAGTTGACTGCACTTACCATAATATACTAATATCAGATCATGCTCCTGTCTCCTTAAGCCTTGACTTGAACCATAAGAGAGGTGACTACAACTGGCGTTTGAATAATACACTGTTAAAAGATGAAGAATTTTGTACCTATCTTTCTGGTAAAATAGAATTATATTTAAGCACCAATGACACAGGCGATGTGGATGACTCCACTCTATGGGAGGCCATGAAGGCTGTCCTTAGAGGCCATATAATATCATATGAGGCAGCAGAGAAAAAAAAATCTAAGGAAAGATTGACTGAAATTGATGATCAACTGACCAAGCTAGAAGTTTCATACAAAACTGAACAAAAAGCAGAAGTGCTTAATAAAATAACTGCTCTACGGTATGAGTATAATTCTATAATGTCAAAAAACATATCAAAATTATTAGTACAAGTCAGACAGAGATATTTTGAGCTTGGCCACAAGCCGCACAGGCTGTTAGCCCGCCAGCTGAGGCGAATGCAGGCTTCCAGAGCCATACATTGTATCATGTCTGAGAGAGGTACCTTGCACACGGACCCGAAGAAGATTAATGAATGTTTTGCAGATTTCTATGCTAATGTCTATCAGTCACAGGGCGACCTAGATTCTCAAGCTTTCAATACATTTTTTGAGAATCTGGACTTACCCAAATTATCACGGGCTGATATACTAGACAAAAACATCAATCTGGATGAGATCGCGCAGGTTATCTCTTCCTTCCCCAATAACAAGGCGCCGGGTCCAGATGGATTTAACGTAGAATTTTTCAAAAAATTCGGCTCTAAGTTGTCACCTCTGCTCTTACGCATGTTCAACCATACGATGCGAACCTCGGGTCTGCTGCCTACCTTATACAAAGCTAATATTTCACTAATCCCAAAGCCAGGCCGAGACCCTCAGGTGGTGTCATCCTATCGCCCGATTTCGTTATTATCCATCGAAACCAAAGTTCTCCGAAAAATTCTGGCCAATAGACTTAGAGAATGCATATGCTCCATCATACGATATACTCTTGTACATTTCCCAGCCACAAGTATCAATACCTCCTCTCCTGACTCTCATTGATAAGTTTGGCAGTCTCTCAGGATTTTCTATTAACTGTGAGGAAGAAAATTGCAGCCGGCTCGACTGCCCCCTACTGGTCGTGTCCTTTTCAATTCAATTCAATTCAATTCAATTCAATTTTATTTGTATAGCGCCAATTCATAACAGAAGTTATCTCAGGACACTTTTCAAATAGAGCAGGTCTAGACCGAACTCTTTAACATTAATTACAGAGACCCAACAGTACCACCATGAGCAAGCACTTGGCGACAAGGGCAAGGAAAAACTGCCTGTTAAAAGGCAGAAACCTAGGACAGATCCTCCGGCTCTAGGTGGGTGGTCATCTGTCTCGACCAGTTGGGGTGAGAGAGAGAGAGAGAGAGAGAGAGAGAGAGAGGCAGAGAGAGAGAGAGCGAGAGGGAGAGGGAGAGGCAGAGAGAGTGAGAGACAGACAGACAGACAGGTGCACAGCAACAACAGTATTGGCAATGGCAGTCAAGCAGGACCATGGCAGGAGGCTCCAACAGGATCCATGAGAACCTGCGAGACGAGAAAGCACAAGAACTCCGGGGAAGAAGTGAAGTTAGTAACATGCATTAATGGGACATGAATGAGTGCATAAAGAGAGAGGAAGGGAGGAGCTCAGTGCACCATGGGAAATCCCCCGATAGTCTAGGCCTATAGCAGCATAACTAAGGGATGGTTCAGGACTCACCTGATCCAGCCCTAACTATAAGCTTTATCAAAGAGGAATGTCTTAAGCCTACTCTTGAATGTGGTGAGGGTGTCTGCCTCCTGAACCACAACTGGAAGCTGGTTCCACAGGAGAGGAGCTTGGTAACTGAAGGCTCTGGCTCCTGTTCTACTTTTAGAGACTATAAGAACCACAAGTAGCCCAGCATTCAGAGAACGTAGTGTTCTAGTGGGGTAATAGGGTACTATGAGCTCTTTAAGATATGAAGGGGCCTGACCATGAAGAGCTTTATAGGTGAGGAGGAGGATTTTAAATTCAATTCTACATTTTACAGGGAGCCAATGCAGAGAAGCTAGTACAGGAGAGATGTGATCTCTTTTTCTAGTTCCTGTCAGTACTCGTGCTGCAGCGTTCTGAATTAATTCGAGCGTTTTAATGGACTTATTGGGGCAACCTGATAATAAAGAGTTGCAGTAATCCAGCCTTGAAGTAACAAATGCATGGATTAGTTTTTCTGCATCTGTCTGTGATAGTATGTGTCTAATTTTTCTAATATTACGTAAATGAAAGAAGGCGGTCCTAGAGGTCTGCTTTATGTGGAGTTAAATTCAATTCAATTCAATTCAATTCAATTTTATTTGTATAGCGCCAATTAAAAAAAAAAATTTTTTTAGACAAACTTTTCAAATAGAGCAGGTCTAGACGAACTCTTTAACATTAATTACAGAGACCCAACAGTACCACCATGAGCAAGCACTTGGGTACTGTTCAAAGGCAGAACCCCTAGGACAGATCCTCCTGACTAGGTGGTGGTTGCTCAGTTGGGGTGAGAGAGAGAGAGAGAGAGAGAGAGAGAGAGAGAGAGAGAGAGAGAAGACAGACAGACAGGTGCACAGCAACAACAGTATTGGCAATGGCAGTCAAGCAGGACCATGGCAAGAGGCTCCACCAGGATCCATGAGAACCTGAATGACAAATCCTGATCAAAGATAACTCCAAGATTCCTGACAGTGGTGCTAGAGGCCAAGTTAATGCCATCTAGGCTAATCTTTAGACAATGGGTCTCTAAGGTTTTTGGGGCCAAGAACAAGAATTTCGTTTTTTTCTGAGTTTAACATCAGAAAATTGCAGGTCATCCAGGATTTTATGTCCGTAAGACATGTTTGTAATTTAGATAATTGATTAATTTCATTGGGTTTGATTGATAGATATAACTGCGTATCATCTGCATAACAGTGAAAGTTCATGGAGTGATTCCTAATAATGTTGCCTAAAGGGAGCATATATAAAGTAAATAGTATTGGTCCAAGTACAGAACCTTGTGGAACTCCATGACTAACTGTAGTATTTATTGAAGATTCATCGTTAACATGTACAAACTGCGAGCGATCTGATAAATATGACTTAAACCAGCTTAGTGCGGTTCCTTTAATGCCAATTTGATGCTCAAGTCTCCCCAAAAGAATATTATGGTCAATGATGTCAAATGCAGCACTAAGACCTAATAATACAAGTACAGAGACAAGTCCATTGTCAGAAGCAGTCAGAAGGTCATTATTAACTTTAACCAGAGCTGTCTCTGTGCTATGATGAACTCTAAATCCTGACTGAAAATCCTCAAATAAACTATTGTTATGTAGAAAGTCACACAACTCTTTGGCGACTACTTTCTCCAGAATCTTAGAGAGGAAGGGGAGGTTAGAAATCGGTCTATAGTTGGCTAAAACCCCTGGGTCAAGAGTGGGCTTTTTAAGAAGGGGTTTAATTACAGCTACTTTAAAGGACTGTGGTACATATCCTGATAATAAAGAAAGATTAATCATATCCAGTAAAGAAGTGCCAATTAAGGGAACAACTTCTTTAAGCAGCCTAGTTGGGATCGGGTCTAATAGACAGGTTGATGGCTTCGATGAAGAAATTATTGAAGTTAACTGATGAAGATCGATAGCAGAAAAACAGTCTAAATATATATCTAAGTTTACATTGACAGAAGTCCCTGAACTTGGAGAGCCACTGATAACTGTTGATGGCAGTTGGTGATTAATTTTTTCTCTAATAGTAATAATTTTATTATAGAAGAAGCTCATGAAGTCATTGCTACTTAAGTTTATGGGGATATGTGGCTCAATAGAGCTGTGACTCTCTGTCAGCCTGGCTACAGTGCTGAAGAGGAACCTAGGGTTGTTCTTATTTTCTTCTATTAGTGCTGAGTAATAGGCTCCTCTGGCATTACGGAGGGCCTTTCTAGACATTTTAAGATTATCTTGCCAATTTGAGCGATATTCTGATAATTTGGAAGAGCGCCATTTCCTTTCAGATTTTCTAGCTATTTGTTTTAACTGGCGGGTTTGGTGGTTATACCAAGGTGCTAGTCTCCTATGTTTTAATAATTTCCTTTTTATAGGAGCGATAGAGTCTAATGTTGATCGTAGTGAGCCTGTAGCACTATCGACAAGATTATCAATTTCAGAGGGACTAAAGTCGTTATAGGATTCTGTTAAATTCAGACATGGCATTGAATTAAACACTGAAGGAATCTCCTCCTTAAATTTAGCTACAGCACCGTCAGATAGACATCTGCTGTAGGAAGTTTTGCCTAAGGGCTTATAATCTAAAACATGAATTCAAAAGTTATTAAATAATGGTCAGATAGGAAAGGATTATGTGGGAAGACTATTAAATGTTCAATATCAATGCCATATGATAAAACATTTATTACTTTATCTGATTTAAGGACTAAACTTGATAGAAACTCTGAGAATTCAGATATAAAATCAGAGTACGGTCCAGGATAGCGGTACACTATAACAAATAGAACTGGCTGCAGTGTTTTCCAGGATGGATGAGAAAGACTAAGAACAAGGCTTTCAAATGAATTATAATTTAGTTTAGGTTTAGGGTCCATTAAAACGCTCGAATCATATATGGCTGCCACTCCACCTCCTCGGCCAGTGCCTCGAGGAATGTGAGTATTAATATGACTGGGGGGGTGGATTCATTTAGGCTAACATACTCCTCGTGGGACAACCAGGTCTCAGTAAGACAAAGTAAATCAATATCATAGTCTGATATTAATTCATTCACTAAAACAGCTTTAGAGGACAGAGACCTGATATTTAACAGTCCACATTTCATTCTCTTATTTTGTGCTACTGAGGAGTTAGTTTTAATCTTAATTAGATTTTTATGTTGAACTCCTCTTGTTTTTATTTCTTTAAATAATTTAGGTGGTCGGGGGACAGACACAGTCTCTATGGGGTTTTGGGTGGGTGACTGTTCTAAAGAAACAGCAGAGAAGTGTGTAAGACAGCAGCTCTGCTTCCTGGTCCCAACTCTGGACTGTCAGGTTTTAGAAATAAACTTCGCCATATTTCTAGATAAGAGAGCCACTCCATCCAAAGTGGGATGGATGCCGTCTCTCCTAATCAGACCAGGTTTTCCCCAAAAAGGCTTCCAGTTATCAATGAAGCCCACATCGTTTGCTGGACACCACCTCGACAGCCAGCGGTGGAATGACGACATGCGGCTATACATGTCATCACTGGTCACATTGGGGAGGGGTCCAGAGAAAACTACGGAGTCCGACATAGTTTTAGCATAATTACACACCGACTCCACATTAATCTTAGTGACCTCCGATTGGCGTAAACGGGTGTCATTACCGCCGACGTGGATAACAATCTTACTATATTTACGTTTATCTTTAGCCAGGAGTTTTAAATAGAATTCAACGTCGCCCGCTCTGGCCCCAGGGACATATTTAACTATGGCCGCTGGCTTCGCTAACTTCACGTTTCTGACTATGGAGCTGCCAATAACCAGAGTTGGTTCCTCAGCGGGTGTGTCGCTGAGTGGGGAAAATGTATTAGAATGGGTTGGTGAATGGATGGGTTGGTGATGAACTGTGGGTTTCGGCATTTTAGTCTTCCTTCGCTCAGTCACCCAGCCTCCCTGTCTTCCCGGCTGCTCGGGAAGTACCGGGGGAAGTACTGGAGGACGGCTAACAGAAGCTACCTTCGGTCGGACCGCACCGGCTACTGGGGGCTGGCTAACTATAGCGGCTAAAGATATCTCTGTGGTACGGTACCGTTCCTCTAACTCACGATGGCACATGGCACAGCCGAAGCACACCCCGAGTTGCTAGTGTGCGAGGGCCCGCTCATTGCTGCAGGCAGCTTTAATTATTATTATTATAATTATAATTATTATTATTATTATTATTATTATTATAATTATAATTATTATTATTATTATTATTATTATACTGATACTATTATTATTACTATTATTATTACTATTATCATTATTATTATTACTGATATTATTGTTGTTATTGTCATCATTGATTAGGAATACTGCAGTAAAGGATTAAAGTAATCGAGTTTTATTGTATTTTTTTAAGTCTTCAGTGAATATCGTGTTTCCGGTTGCTGGGTGATGCAGCAGGTTACCATGGTAACAGCAGCCTCCTCACCCAGAATGCACCAGCAGCAGAGCCTCCCTCCCTCCTTCTCCTCACACAGCGGCAGCAGGTGGCAGTGCAGCAGGGTGAAGCAGCAGACAGACAGACGGACAGACAGCAGCCAGGAGGTAAGACACAAACACACACCTGTTTCTCTGTCTGTCTGTCTGTCTGTCTGTCTCTCTCTATGTGTCTGTCGGTCTGTCTATCTCTCTCTCTTTCTCTCTGTGTCTGTCTGTCTCTGCTCCATGTGGCTCTGCCACTCCTCCGTCTGCAGGCTGCGGCAGAAGCGGCCGACCAGTATTTTTCTGCTCAGTGAGCCGTTGGCCTGTTAGCCTGTTAGCCTGCAGGCTAATGTAGCTTCAGATAGAGATAGGGCGGAGAACATGTGCCAAAGCGGTGATTGACAGCTAGACGAGGTGGTGGAGGAGGAGGTGGAGGAGATGCTTGATGCTGTTGCTGCATCATCATGGAGGATGTATTGTTACTGAGCATGCTCACTAACTCCTCCTCTCCTCTCCCTCACCTCCACATAAACTCTTCTCCTCCTCTCAGTTGCCTCTTGTTCACCTCCTTTCCTCTTCCTCCTCTTTTTCTTCATCTCATCCCCTCCTTTTCCTCCTCCTTCTCCTCTTCTCTCCTTCACCTCACCCACCCCTCCTCCCCACTAATTTTTCCTCCTCTCCTCTCCTCCTCTTCCTCCTCCCCTCCTCCTCCTTCCCCTTTTACCTCTTCCTCTCATCTTCTTTTTCCACTTTTCCTAATTTTTCTTCTTATCTCCTCTCCTCTGCAGGAGTAATGATGGATGGATACTCCGCCACCCTCGGAGGTGACCCCGCCCCTGAAGAGCAGAGGATGATGGAAGGTTGGTGTTGACTCCTGCCACAGACAGTACTCAGGGCTGTTTATTACAGGTGACCCTCAGACAGCCCTGAGTAGAGCAGAGGATGATGAGAAAGTACTCAGGGTTGAGTGTTGCAGAGACTCAGGCTAGTTCTGGGGCGGGACTGGGGGCCTACAGACAGTACTCAGGGCTGTTTATTACAGAGGAACACCTGCAGACAGTACTCAGGGCTGAGTTATAGAGGGAATGCAGACAGTACTCAGTCTTAGTTATAGAGAGTAATGCCTGCAGACAGTACTGCTGAGTTATAGAGAGGGCTGAGAAGTACTCAGGGTTGAGTTACAGAGGATGACAGGCTCAGGGCTGATTACAGGAAGCAACGCCTGCAGACAGTACTCAGGGCTGAGTATTGCAGAGGAACGCCTGCAGACAGTACTCAGGGTTGAGTTATAGAGAGGAACACCTGCAGACAGTACTCAGGGCTGAGTTACAGAGAGGAACGCCTGCAGACAGTACTCAGGGCTGAGTTATAGGGAGCAACGCCTACAGACAGTACTCAGGGCTTATTTATAGAGAGGAATGCCTGCAGACAGTACTCAGGGTTGAGTTATAGAGAGGAACACCTGCAGACAGTACTCAGGGCTGAGTTATAGAGAGGAACACCTGCAGACAGTACTCAGGGCTTAGTTATAGAGAGGAATGCCTGCAGACAGTATTCAGTGCTGAGTTATAGAGAGGAATGCCTGCAGACAGTACTCAGGGTTGAGTTATAGAGCGGAATGCCTGCAGACAGTACTCAGGGCTGATTACAGGAAGCAACGCCTGCAGACAGTAGTCAGGGCTGAGTTATTGTGCGCAACGCCTGCAGACAGTACTCAGGGCTGAGTTTAGGGAGGAACTTTAGTGTTAGTGACTCCTCCTCCAGCTGCTCCTGTTACCGTTAACAACCACTTTAGTAAAGAAACAGCATTGTTTCCATGGTGATGTGTTAAATACATCCAGTCAGTCTGTGTGTTCTCAGTGTTTGTCTCTACTCCTGTTGTCTCCTCCTTCTCCTCTTTCCTTCTCTCCTCTCTGCCCTCTGTTGTCTCCTCTCTCCTCCTGTTTGTCCTCCTCCATCCTCCCAGACCTCCTTGACTCTGTCAGCACTCAGGATAAACCCCCAAATGAAAGCAGAGCTGAGCAGGAGGAGGTGAAGGGGGAGCGGGGAGATGGAGGTGAACAGATGAGGAGCAGCTCTGAGGAGCAGTCAGAGAGGAGGGATGAGGAGGAGAAAGAGGAGAGATCCATGCTGATGAAAGAGGAAGAGGAGCAGCAAGGAGACAAAGAGAAAGACAAGGAGGAGCTAGAGACTCCTTTCTCCTCCACCACACCTCGTCTGGATGAAAGAAGAAAGAAGAAAGAAGAGGAGGAAGTAGACAAAGAAGAAGAGCAGAAAGAGGACGTGTCAGAGGAGACGGAGCAACCAAAAGGAGGAGGTGAAAATGGGGAGGTGGAGAAGAAACAGAAACAGCCTGAGAATTTCTGCTCACATATCACACCTCCTCCTTTACAGACGGAGCAGAGGGGAGGTGACGAAGAGGAGGAGATTAAAGGAGAAGAACAGAAAGAGGAAGAGAAAGAAATGATAGAAGAAGAGGAGGTGACAGAAGAGAAAATTGTGATGACAAAAAAGGAGGAGCAGCTAGAAGGAGATGGAGGGATGGAGATGGAGATGGAGAAGGAGGTTCAGGCCTTCTCCATCAGATCTCCTGATGAGGAGCAGGAAGAAACAGTTGAAAGAGAGAAAGAGGAGGGGGCGGAGGAGGAAGAGGACCAGATAATGAAGGATAGTTTACAAGTAGCTGTAATGTCACCAGAGGAGGAGCAGCTGGATATGCAAGAGGAGAAAACAAGCACACTGATCCACCAAGCACCTCCAGCCCCTCCATCCTCTGAAGACCAGGAGGTCCCCGCCAACAAAACAAGCACTCACCAGACCAATGGAGACTTCAGCAAACAGAAGAGACACTTGATTTCTACTGCAGCTTCTGCCTCTGTTACCAAAGCTCCACCCACCGGAGCTGCCACCTCCTCCTCTCCAAAACAGACTGCTCGACCCAGAAAAACAAGTGCTCCTCCACCTAAACAGGCTCCCCAAGTTAGGAAAACAAGTGCTCCTCCTCTTAACAAAGGTCTGTCGTTCTGAACCTCCTTCTGCACTCCTCCTCCCTCACGTCCTTTCTTTCCCTCAACTCCTCTTCCTTATGCTACCACCTCCTCCTCCCCTTCATTTCTCCTCCCTCCCACCGCCTCCTCCTCTTCATTTCTCCTCCCTCCAACCTCCTCCTCCTCTTCATTTCTCCTCCCTCCAACCTCCTCCTCTTCATTATTTTTCTTCCATCCCACCTTCTCCTCTTTATTTCTCCTCTCACCTCCTCCTCTTCATTTCTCCTCCCCCCAGCTCCTCCTCCTCTTTATTTCTCCTCTCACCTCCTCCTCTTCATTTCTCCTCCCCCCAGCTCCTCCTCTTCATTATTTCTCATCCCTCCCTCCTCCTCCTCCTCTTTATTTCTCCTCCTACCCCCTCCTCTCTATTTCTCCTCCCTCCCACCTCCTCCTCCTCATTATTTCTCCTCCCTCCCACCTCCTCCTCTTTATTTCTCCTCCCACCTCCTCCTCCTCCTCCTCTGTGTCATGTTTCTGGACGTTAAAGGAACATTTTGTATATTTCAGTTTCTTATTTTGAAAGTGACACAGACTGGACTTCCTGTTGACCGCTGCGTGACCTTGTGGTTGTCATGGAAACATTGACCTCTGCTTGTACTTCCTGCTTTCTGCACTCCATCATGTTTGTGTTTGTTAATGATCATAATCAATAACATGATAATCAGTGATTGTTTGTTCTGTCACTTCCTGCTCTGAGTTCTTCTTCTCTTATTCAGAAAAAGCAGCTGCGAAAGAAACTGAAGAAACAATGAAGGTAAAAATCAATCAATCAATATTCAATAAATCTGTGTAATAATCAATAATCATGTATATATTTATATTATTATCAGGTATTATTACTGTATATATTATATTATTATTACTGTATGTATTTATATTATTATTACTGTATATATTTATATTATTATTATGTATATATAATATTATTATTTATGTATATATAATATTATTATTGTCTATATTTATATTATTATTACTGTCTATATTTATATTATTATCAGGTACTGTAGCTGTATATATTATATCATAATTACTGTATATATTACATTATTATTGTTACTGTCTATATTTATATTACAGTTTTTCTCAATTGCTAAAACACAATTTCTGAAACCTTGCTCCATTTTCTGAAAACATTAAACACAAAACCTCAGCTTCAAGCACTATTTACAAAACCTCTGACTCCTCGTGCAAAATGAAACTTTTGCCTCAAAACAGATTTACCTGTGTTCAAAACCAAACACTGCTCTCAAATCATAAACAAAGTGATCAAAATGATATACACTATCAAGCAGTCAGTAAACAATACACCAAAAAATAGAAAGCACGTTGTTCAAAACATATAGTTCTCAGGGAGAAGTACATCTCAAACAAATTTCATATTTTTCCGTCATTGTCTTTTAAAGAATGAAAACATGTTCTATCATAGTAGCTCAAAACTGATCAGAAATTATGCTCTGCTTTGCTCTTTGCAATTTTTTTGTTCCTCCTCCTCCTTGTACCCCTATTTTTACAGAACTGTACCCTGCATCTCACAAACTTGTCCCTTGTTTCTGTGATACTGTAATTCTTGTTCTTTGTTGATATGAACCTGCAACCAGTCAAAATCTATTGAGCAGTCAGTACTGTAAACAAATGGAAAGCACAATGTTCAGGGCAGACAATGTGTTTATTGTACAGTATACAGCCTACAATGCACTGTACTACAGTATACAATACAAAAATCAAAGGAGTAAACATGTGATCAATGTGCTTCTTCTTTTTCTCTGAACTGGCTTATATTGGTTGTGTCGCATGATTTGAAACAAGTGAAATCAATTTTGAGTGGTTGTGTTTAATCAATGACATGTGTTCTCTATTTGTATTTGATTGTTGCCACTTGTGTTTACCAGTATGGATGACATGTGCATTAGAGTGCACAATGTGTTTTAAGAATGAGAATGTGTTTAGAGTTCTGCTGGAAAGTCTAATTGAGATCTGCAAATTGTGTTTTACCATGTGAAATGGTTTAATGTACTGACAACAGACTGCACAATTAGCTAAATGAGTTCAGGCAACTGCAAACTTTGTTCAGCCAATGGGTTTTAGTGTTTTAGCAATTGAGAAAAACTGTATTATCAGGTACTATACGCATTTGAATGAAGACTTAATTTAGATGTTGGTTGATAGGTATATTATATTATACAATATTGATTAATAATTAATAAATTAATATCAGCGAGTTCCAATGGTGGGCCGTTAAAAAAGTATTACAGTAAAATATTGATATTTCAGTGATTGTAACAGATATCAAAAAGAAAAGTAATACCCAGAATGACTTGGCTTTGTGTGGCTTTATAGGTGAAGATTGTTTGCAGCAATCACACAATACTACAACAACTAATAATAATAATAATGATGATGATGATGATGATGATGATGATGGTGTGTGTGTGTGTGTGTGTGTGTGTGTGTGTGTGTGTGTGTGTGTGTGTGTGTGTTTTAGGCCTCCAGGACAGCAGGAGGTGCCAAAGCAGCCAAGATGATCTCAGCCAAGAGTACAGGTACTCACCATCAGTTCAAACAGTAATATCAGTTCTGACCCAACCCTCCAGGAAGACCGCTGGGCTTTGAATCAGTTTGGCACAGCAGACTTTTTCCCATTAAACATTGAGAAAGATGCGTCTGTAAAACAGTGGATTCGTTGTCCTGAGTGATCACGTTTCATTTGAAAAGTCTAAAAGGGTTATCTCCATTCAAGTTCCCTGGTCGAGGCAGACGACCACCCACCTAGAGCCGGGGTCTGTCCGAGGTTTCTGCTTCTTATAAGGAAGTTTTTCCTTGCCCTTGTCTCCAAGGTCTTGCTCATGGATGTACTGTTGGGTCTCTGTAAATAATGTTATAAAGAGTTCGGTCTAGACCTGCTCTATTTGAAAAGGGTCCTGAGATAACTTTTGTTATGAATTGGCGCTATACAAATAAAAGGGAATTGAATTGAATTGAAGTTAGCAGAGGGATAAACAGGAAGTTAACAGCTTGGCTAGTCCTGGCCACTGTGGCCCATAGAGCATGCTCAGTACGCATTCATCCGGGCAATTTCTTACAGCAGGAAGAGACGCTGAGCAGCTCTCTTAAGAACAAACACTGCATCCAGTTTTTATTGCAAAGGTTTTTACATACAAGCTTCTGTAGCTCAAACTGGGTCCATAACCTGTCTGTCTCTCACCTGTCTGTCTGTCAGAGTCAGTCGACGGAGTCAGCAGTCCAGGAAGTCGTTCTCCTGCCAGTCGATCCTCCACTCCCAACAGAGATGTGAAGAAGGTCTGAACACCTGTCCACTTACCTGTCTGTCTGTCTGTCTGTCTGTCTGTGAACTAATAATAAATAATCTATAAATCCATCAATACATTTGATAGATTTACTGGTTAAACTGGTTCTGATAATTTGGTGCTGTAGGTCGCGGTTGTCCGGACCCCCCCGAGGTCTCCTGGTTCTGCTCGTGGACGGACGCCCCCCCTCCCCTCCCACCCCATGCCTGACCTCAGCAGCGTGAGGTCAAAGGTCGGATCCACTGAGAACCTCAAACACACACCCGGAGGGGGCAAGGTAACACACACACATCTTTCTGCACTTGTGAGGACCCTGGTTAGCATAACGCATTAACTAAACAACCATGAAGTCACTTTTACTCACAGGATCATTTGTGTTTACTTAGTAAATATAGTCCCTTTATTCTGTCTCACTGCACCCAAAATAATCAGATGTTTCTGTGATTTAATGTCAATAAAGGATCAATATGATGCTGAAATAATGACATCCTGATGTAGATGTTGCGTCTGTCTGCAAGACGACGAGCAAACAACTTTGAAAATGCTCGTTTTCTGAATGGAGTTTGGATGATCAGGGCTATGCTAACTGATGGCTGGAATCAAGTAACAGACACAAATTTTCCAACTTCCTCTCTTCTCAAGCTGTCTGCTGAGAGCCACAGAGGCAGCAGTAAAGATAAATCCACTCTTTAATCCCAACAATTTCAGTAATAAACAGTATAAACAGATCAGATCAGGATCCGGTGGGACTCTGGCTGTTTATGGGCTCTCTCCTGCAGAGCTCCCCGGACCCCAGTAGCTGTCTGTGGGCAGCAGCAGCTCCGTCATTGCATTGACTTCAATCTCATCACTTCACTGTAACCATAACGGAGGCACTGGCAGCTCTGAAACCCTCCACGGCCTCAACTTCAACTCAAGTGGCGCCCGAATATCTCAGCCACAGTTCACACAGTCCCCCGTGTCCGTGCTGCAGTGGCTGTGGGTCCAACCCCCCACCTCACTCACAAGTTCTTAAACTCAAACTAACACAAGTTTAACTGTTTACTCCAAATCTGTCTGTCTGTCTGTCTGTCTGTAGGTTCAGATTGTTCATAAGAAGTTGGATCTCAGTAACGTGACATCAAAGTGTGGCTCCAAAGGCAACCTCCACCACAAACCAGGTTCATGTAGTATTTGTATGAGATAATACAATATTTATATTTATATATTGTACTGTAGTGCTATATACAGTGTGTGTGTGTGTGTGTGTGTGTGTGTGTGTGTGTGTGTGTGTGTGTGTGTAGGTGGAGGGAAGTTGGAGATTAAATCTGAGAAACTGGATTTTAAATCTGTTCAGTCTAAAGTCGGTTCTCTGGAGAACGTCACTCATGTGCCAGGAGGAGGGAAGAAGAAGGTACATGCTGATATCACGCTAACATCACACTAACATTGCAGCACATTCAATGAGCTTCCTGTGAGTAGATGAACCAGTTGGAGGTCTTAAAGCTCCAGTGTGTAGCACCCTCTAGTGGTGAAGTTAGAGATTGCAGCTCAGCCTTCAGTGTGTGTGTGCAGTGCAGTCTCTCTCTAGATCCAGTGTTTGTCCATTCTGGGCTACTGTACAACCATGGTGGTTCAACATGGCAGACTCCGCCAGCAGAGGAGCCACTCCCTCTGTAGATAAAAACAACAACGATTGTTATTGTAAGCTGATTAATGAAAACATATCTATGAATATTATGTTAATGTGACACACTGGAGCTCTTTATAAAATAATACTTTATATTGTATATTTATTGGTTTAATATTTAAAACTTTACTTCCTGTTAAATAAAGTGATGCTCTGTATGACGTATTGATCTGTGATCAGCGTTTATTATTTTACATGAACAGACCACTTTACATTTAAAATATATCAAACTAATAATTAATAATTGTTAATTATAATAATTATTATTATTAATTATAATAATATATAATAACAATAACAATATATATATAATTCGACCACAAACACATTTTACTGTTCATCAATTTTTTATTAATTACATCACATCTGTGTTTATATTTGTTTGTTTGTTTGTGTACTATTGATTACCATAGTCATGAGATTCTATACTATTTATTACTAATTATAATACTAAGTACATTCTATATCATACATCTAACTATATTTATATATTTTGAATTGTCTGTGTATTATGTATTTTACATTTGTGTACCTTATATGTTACATTTTGTATTGTATTTGTTTATATATAGTTTTATATGACAGTATTTAATATATGTTAATTACTGTACAGCTTATGTCATAAGTAACAATATTAATATTTATTTATAATATTGAACTATGGATGTAATGTTATTTGTATTTGTATTATTTATTTATATTATTTATATTGTTGCTGTGTTAGATTGAGAGCCAGAAACTGACCTTTAAAGAGAATGCCAAAGCTCGAACTGACCACGGTGCTGACATCGTCATCCAGCCTGACTCCTCCTCTCGTCACCTTAGCAACACTTCCTCCCCTGGAAGCCTTAACGCTGCTGAAGCTCCGCCCCTCGACACCCTGGCTGACCAGGTGACAGATTTACTGGTTTAGACCACATTTTAAAGAGATGAAAGTAAAACACACATAAACTCACCAGTTCCTCTTCCTTTCAGGTGTCTGCCTCTCTCGCCAAACAGGGCTTGTGATTGGACAACCCTGTGCCAACAGATCCCGCCCACTCCTGTTACCAAGGAAACTGCCTGATCGAAGAAAGAAAAAAAACCTCATTCTGCCTTTTTCCTCATCACCTTCATCTGACTCCACAAAACACAGGATCAGAGAGATTTTATGAAGTCAAAGTGAGGCCTTAAACTTCTGAGTTTCTGAACGCAGATCATCAATCAATATCTGATCAATATCTGATCAGTATCCAGATTATCACCCACATCAATATCCACATCAATATCCACATCAATATCGGATCAATATCCGTTATCAGACAGATTATCAATCAATCACAGTTCAATCCATCAGGTGTTCAGTCATAATAATAATAATGAGAAGAAGAAGAATAAGAAGAATAATAGAAGTTTAATGTTTGTGCGTTCAGTACAGATATATCCAGGACACCGTTAGCCTAGCTGAGCACAAAGACTGGAAACTGCTAGCCTAGCTAAATTGACCACTGGATCAGACAGACTTGAGATTGTTCTCCTCTAATTGAGCTAGGCTAGCAGTTTCCCCCACTTTCAGTCTTTGTGCTAAGCTAGGCTAACAGTTTCCCCCTGCTTCCAGTCATTGTGCTAAGCTAGGCTAACAATTCCCCCGCTTTCAGTTTTTGTGCTAAGCTAGGTTAACTGTTTCCCCCTGCTTTCAGTCTTTGTGCTAAGCTAGGCTAACAGTTCCCCCCTGCTTCTAGTCTTTGTGCTAAGCTAGGCTAGAAGATTCTCCCTGCTCACAGTGTTTAACGAACCATATAGGCTTGGCAAATTCATCCAAACACATCAAACAGCTGAATGTTGTCCGACATTCAAAATTAGAAAATTATATGAATGTAAAATATTGTTTTACTGAAGCATTGTAAAGATATAGTGGTTTAAGTCTGTATGTATACAGCTATAAGGAACCCCTATATAAACTCTATATTGACCTTATATTGATCCTATATTGACCCTATATAAACTCTATACTGACCTTATATTGACCCCATATTGATCCTATTTTGACCCTATAAGGACGCTATATTAACCCTATATTGATCCTATATTGACCCTATATTGATCCTATATTGACCCTATGTTGACGCTATATCTACCCTATATTGACATAAACATCAAATATCGCTGTGATCTTTTGGACGGATTCCTTTGACTACAGCAGCTGTTACGCTGATAGTTTGATAGTTTGGAAGATATCGATACTGGATATTGTTTATGGCTTTGAAACTACTGCTCAGATACAACTGACCCTTCATAAGCCCCGGCCCTTTGCGCTCTGTGTTCCAATCACAGGTGAGCAAGCCACGGTCAGAACCTTGGTCAACTTCTTCCTTTCCTGTACTTAGATATGCTATGTGCTAGGCTAATCTATGTTGGAAAGACAACCACATTTTGAAGATTGTTGCTACCATTAGCTAGACATAGACACACAACATTGATGTATTTGATATGGAGATCAATAATTGACTGATAGAAGAGTAAAATGTCTCCAGGAGCCCTTGAGGACTTTCTCAGGTTCAGGGTGAAGGTCTGAAAAGTCCTTGAGGAGGTCCTTGAATAAAGTTCCAGGAGGTTCATTCAGGAGAAAACAGAGAACATGATACTCCATGCTAACTCATAACTAGCCTTGATTAGCACGTTAGCATCCTTCATAAAATCCCTCCAATCACAGAACATCTCCCTCTGATGTTAACTCTCTCAGCCAATCATCATCTCTGTATGCTAATGTACTGTAATTCCCTGTGATGGCCCCGTCATAAAAAATACCCAGAATGCAGTTTGATACCAGGTGCCAAACCATACTGTTTCTCTCTCTGCTTGTCGGCTGTTAAAGTGCTTTGTACCAATAAAGTTTCTCTTGGATCGGATCTCTTTGTTCTATCAATAATATTCTATATTTACTGTGTGTATGATACAACATATTATATATTTACTGTATATATAATACAATATGTAGAGCAGGTATAGAGCACAAACTCCTTATAGGGTTATGCGCGGGACCTCCCACTCCACGCAACTCGGGGAGTGCTGCGGCCACGTTGCATGCCGTCGTAACACGTGCAGACCACAACATGAAAATCTCACTTAAATTAGCTCAAAATCGCCACGCAGCGCTTACTTCCTGTTGCCAGTAGGTGGCGCTATGACAATGTCTGAATGTTGTCATGTAGACGTATTCAAGGCGAGAATGTTATCAAACACGTGAAGTTTCATTGAGACTGGACCACGTACGCTGAAGTTATGAGGACGAGTTCAGGGCAAAACTGTTTCAGAATATATGAAGTTTATTGGAGATTGGACACTGCACACTGAAGTTATGAGCACTATTTTATGGCGAATCTGCTGATATTGACAAGTTGTCACTGGCACGCAGTTTGATGTAAAGTCACAAATAGCTCAACTTTTCAATCAGTTTGTATGACCAATGAATTCAAAATGTCCAATTTTGACCTCACGCCACAGACACGCCGTTCAACGTACAGTCTCAAATAGCACAACTTTTAATCAGCACCATTTTTTGACTGTACTGACTGATTGTGAAGTAGATCCGATTAATTCCCTAGGAGGAGTTCGTTCAAATACAAGGCAAAAAATTCACCGAAAATGGGCACGAAATTCAAAATGGCCAACTTTGAGGGCACGCCACGGACACGCCCTTCAACGTACATGCACAAATAGCACAACTTTTAATCAGCACCATTTTTGACTGTACTCACAAATTTTGAAGCATATCCGATAAATTCCCTAGGAGGAGTTCGTTCAATACAACGCGAAAAGTTAGCCGAAAGTGAAAATGAAAATGAAAATGGCCAACTTCCTGTGGGGTTTCGGGTATGGGTCCAGGAGGCTTTTTTGTACGTCCAGGCATGTTACACGTGCCTACCGAGTTTCGTACATATCGGTGAAACGTGGCGCCGGGGCTGCTGTTTTTGTATCCTGTAAGGGGCGCTACAAACATGACAAACGCGATTTTTGGTATGTGAGCTTCGGGCACCACTCTACACGTGCCCTGTGAATTTCATATTCATAACTATTACGGTCTCCGCACAGTGATTTACCATGCCACCAGACCGCCACCTAGTGGCAGATTGTTGACACATTTTTTAGTGAGCCTCAGGGAGCCATGGGGAAGCATCGTACCAAGTATCGTCTTAATCACACATACCGTTGTAGAGATATATACCTCTTTATTTTAAAGAGCGCCACCTTGTGGCGATGGCCTGAAATTGTGCACGATGCCTAAGGAAGACATGGGGAACTATGGACCCAAGCTTGGTGTCAATTGGACATACCAATGTGGAGAAATTCAATTCAATTCAATTCAATTTTATTTGTATAGCGCCAATTCATAACAGAAGTTATCTCAGGACACTTTTCAAATAGAGCAGGTCTAGACCGAACTCTTTAAAACATTATTTACAGAGACCCAACAGTACCACCATGAGCAAGACCTTGGAGACAAGGGCAAGGAAAAACTGCCTGTTGAAAGGCAGAAACCTAGGACAGATCCTTCGGCTCTAGGTGGGTGGTCGTCTGTCCCTGTCTTGGGGTGAGAGAGAGAGCAAGAGAGAGACAGACAGACAGACAGGTGCACAGCAACAACAGTATTGGCAATGGCAATCTAGCAGGACCATGGCAGGAGGCTCCACCAGGATCGATAAGAACCTGCGAGACGAGAAAGCACAAGAACTCCGGGGAAGAAGTGAAGTTAGTAACATGCATTAATGGAACATGAATGAGTGCAGGAAGAGAGAGGAAGGGAGGAGCTCAGTGCACCATGGGAAATCCCCCGATAGTCTAGGCCTATAGCAGCATAACTAAGGGATGGTTCAGGACTCACCTGATCCAGCCCTAACTATAAGCTTTATCAAAGAGGAATGTCTTAAGCCTACTCTTGAATGTGGTGAGGGTGTCTGCCTCCCGAACCACAACTGGAAGCTGGTTCCACAGGAGAGGAGCTTGGTAACTGAAGGTTCTGGCTCCTGTTCTACTTTTAGAGACTATAGGAACCACAAGTAGCCCAGCATTCAGAGAACTTAGTGTTCCAGTGGGGTAATAGGGTACTATGAGCTCTTTAAGATATGAAGGGGCCTGACCATGAAGAGCTTTATAGGTGAGGAGGAGGATTTTAAATTCTATTCTACATTTTACAGGGAGCCAATGCAGAGAAGCTAGTACAGGAGAGATGTGATCTCTTTTTCTAGTTCCTGTCAGTACTCGTGCTGCAGCGTTCTGAATTAATTGGAGCGTTTTAATGGACTTATTGGGGCAACCTGATAATAAAGAGTTGCAGTAATCCAGCCTTGAAGTAACAAATGCATGGATTAGTTTTTCTGCATCTGTCTGTGATAGTATGTGTCTAATTTTTGTAATATTACGTAAATGAAAGAAGGCAGTCCTAGAGGTTTGCTTTATGTGGGAGCTAAATGACAAATCCTGATCAAAGATAACTCCAAGATTCCTGACAGTGGTGCTAGAGGCCAAGTGAATGCCATCTAGAGTAACTATATCTTTAGACAGTGAGTCTAAAACAGGAAGAGGAAGACGTCGGCGTCTGTGTAAAGCAGTGATCCTCACTATTTTTTTCACAAGAGCCAGATTGGCAGAGCAAAATCAAGGGGAGAGCCACTTTTACGACAACATACCAAGTCACCTTTGCAAATGTGCATTTCTACATATAAATTGGACATCCCACAAAAAAAGAAACAACACAGCCAATACATTTTCAATTACGAACAAATAAGAATTCGTCTATCCACTTCTCTTGAAATTTCCTGTGCTCATCTTGTATGCCTCGTACCTTTCGTTTTTTAACTGGGAACACCTGACGTTTGCTTGCTCGTCCCCTCTCCATGGCCTCTTCATGTTGATTTTTGTTTGCTGCTTCTTCAGACTCTTTTTCCTCACTATTCGTTACAACATTGTTGTCTGTCCGTCTGGTTTTTGTGGTGGCTTTTGCCCTTTTTTTAATTAGAAATCGATCCATTTTGTGCCTGCGTCTCACGCTGACTAGCAGAGCTAACATAACCTGGCTGCCAGCATGCACTGCAGTCAAATGTAAACAATGCCATTAGCGGGCTGCGTTGCCAGGTTTGACAGTGCCCCCTTTAGGAAACACCATTAATGAAGGTGAAAGGAGAAGTGTATTGCAGTGCTGTGTTCACTGTATATTTATGTAGCACATTTGAAAAAATGTATTGGCTGTGTTACCATATTGTTATAAGCTACCATGCGAGCCACCAATTAAAGCTTGACGAGCCACATGTGTGGCCACTAGTGGCTTGCTGACCTAATAGCTCTTCCTGCAAAGCAAACAGGGGAAGTGGGCAGCGAGCAGAGTGCCAGGCGGAACACGGGGGATTTGAATAGGACTTAATGTATTGATACTCGCGGCCGAAAAATCGATACTTTCTGGGGAAACAAAATATCGATATATATCGCAGGATCGATAAAAACGCTCAGCCTTAGTTGTCACTGTCAGTCTATCCCTCTGGTGGCACTTCCACTTGGTGAAAACCTTGATAGCAAAGGCAGTTGCCTTTTTCATGTTTGGTTCAAGGGCCCCGTCTTCAATTGTATGCAGCTCCTCATCTGTCAGATCTCGGAAACGGGTACCCTGGGCCTTGTCTTTTGCTTTTGTCATTCCGTCGTCCTCAACGCTTTTTAACCAGTCCTCAAATGTCTTCCCTACTCCAAATAGATTAAAATTGACAATGAATTCGTCCATTTTTAAAACGCTGAAATGTTTAGAACTAATGGTGAATAACGTTAGCTCAGCTGTAGCTAATTCGTTTCTATAGCAACCACACAAGGATGCATCTGATCACTAACGTTAGTTTAATAACGTAGTTGCTACATTGTATCTCGTTTGCGAAACTATGTATCGACTGACCCTCCGATAGATTTCCGACACATTTTAGAAACTTTTTTAAACAAGGTGTATTTTTACTATGGACCTCATGTTTGAAATTTATGTGATAGAAAAATAATACAAGTGGCGTATTGATCTACTATTTGATGACGCTGTGCTCAGTCAGTGGGCAATATGCCGGGTTAATGCCCTCATCCCAGCCAATCAGAATCAAGCATTCTTAAACGAAGTAGAATAAGATCCAATAATACAAGCTGTTGTTATGAAGAAAGTCACACAACTGCTTGGGGACTACTTTCTCCAGAATCTTAGAGAGGAAGGGGAGGTTAGAAATCGGTCTATAGTTGGCTAAAACCCCTGGGTCAAGAGTGGGCTTTTTAAGAAGGGGTTTAATTACAGCTACTTTAAAGGACTGTGGTACATATCCTGACAAAAAAGAAAGATTAATCATATCTAGTAAAGAAGTGCCAACTAAGGGTACGACTTCTTTAAGCAGCCTAGTTGGTCCTAGTCCTGTGACAGACAGACTTCTAGGTGGGATTACAGCTTCCAGTTGTGGTTCGGGAGCTAGACACCCTCTCCACATTCAAGAGTAGGCTTAAGACATTCCTCTTTAAGAAAAGCTTATAGTTAGGGCTGGATCAGGTGAGTCCTGAACCACCCCTTAGTTATGCTGCTATAGGCCTAGACTATCGGGGGATTTCCCATTGTGCACCAAGCTCCTCTCTTCCTCTCTCTTTCTGCACTCATTCATGTCCCAGTAATGCATGTTACTAACTTAGCCAATAACTGTTGTTGCTGTGCACCTGTCTGTCTGTCTGTCTGTCTGTCTCTATCTCTCTCTGTCTCTCCCTCTCTCTCTCTCTCTCTCTCTCTCTCTCTCTCTCTCACCCCAACTGGTCGAGACAGACGACCACCCACCTAGAGCCGGAGGATCTGTCCTAGGTTTCTGCCTTTTAACAGGCAGTTTTTCCTTGCCCTTGTCGCCAAGTGCTTGCTCATGGTGGTACTGTTGGGTCTCTGTAAATAATGTTTTAAAGAGTTCGGTCTAGACCTGCTCGATCTGAAAAGTGTCCTGAGATAACTTCTGTTATGATTTGGCGCTATACAAATAAAATTGAATTGAATTGAATTGTGGTCGTCTTTCTTCAATTCCCTTTCTGGAGTTCTGGACATCCCCCTGACCCCATGCCCTTTAACTGCTATCTTTGGTGTGTCCCCTGTGGGCAGGTTTAACAAGTATCAACCCAGGGAGTTGGGTGCATTGTATTTTGCCTGTATGTTCAAACAGTCTACTTAAAAAAAAAATGAAAATATGAAAATGTCAGACTTCTCATTTACAGTTAATCTGTGTCCTGCTTGTAACATGCTTTGAAGTTTGCTCAATAAACATATTTAAAAAAAGAAAAAAAGTGTGATTAAAACAATGAGTTGGTTTATTTACACTCTGACAGAAGCCAATTGAGTCTATTAATGATATAAATGCATTACTAAGGCTGTCATGGTCAACATCCACATGAATATTAAAATCACCTACAATAATTACTTTATCTGATTTAAGGACTAAACTTGATAAAAACTCTGAGAATTCAGATATAAAATCAGAGTACGGTCCAGGAGCGCGGTACACTATAACAAATAGAACTGGCTGCAGTGTTTTCCAGTTTGGGTGAGAAAGACTAAGAACAAGGCTTTCAAATGAATTATAATTTAGTTTAGGTTTAGTCTCTGTTGTAACCCAGTGATGATTTTGATAACTGCGTTCTTTCATCACCTTATTTCCAGATGTTTTTGTATAAAATACATATAAATAAATAATGTTAGAAGGAGTTCGGTCTAGATCTGCTCTATTTGAAAAGTGTCCTGAGACAACTTCTGTTATGAATTGATGCTATTAAGAATTTCTCCATCCTGCAGTCAGAAGGTTCGGTTTCATTCCAAAACAAAAAAAAAACAAAAAAACGGTCTCCTGGTTATGATTGGCTGTCAGCTGAGGCCCTGCAGCTTCACCTGCACAGGTGAGTGTGTCTGTGTCACTGTGGAAACCAGATGATGGAGGTTGATTAAGATGAATGACTTTGTTTCTGCTGTGAGACTGAATATTTAAATAAACGGCCAATGAGAAGGTCACCACACACACACACACACACACACACACACACACACGCATACATACTGCTGTTTGTTAACAAGCTTTTTCTTTTCCAACTGTTTGTAAAGTAGTTGTTTGTTAATGAGCAGTTTCTCGTTAATGATCCATTTGTTATCAAACTGTTTGTTCACTGTCTGTTTTGCATGCTGTTTCTTCTTCAGTAGTTTGTTGACGAGCTGTTTGTTGTCGAGGTTAATTCTTTGATGTCTCTCTGGCAGTATCACTGTCATGGAGCCTTGAATAAATAGTAATTGTCTGACCTTAGATCAGTGACAATTGTGAATAAATTCAGATCTCTGAGGACAAAAACATCTGTTTTCTACAACAGCTCCATGTTTCCATATTGATGATCATTTAGTTTGATGCATTTCTGTTTAAACTGTATCCATATTTATTAGCACATTTAAATTTGACCGATCTTTTTGTCATACTGTGTCTGTTTTTGTGACCAGGTTACAGGAAACATTGGCACACACTGATGATCTCACAAACTTTAATGCTGAATGTTTCAGAGAACTTTTTATAGATTGTCAGAAGCACCTGAAGTTAGTAAGTATGACCTAATCCAGCTTAGTGCGGTTCCTTTAATGCCAATTTGATGCTCAAGTCTCTGTAAAAGAATATTATGGTCAATGGTGTCAAATGCAGCACTAAGATCTAATAATACAAGTACAGAGACAAGTCCATTGTCAGAAGCAGTCAGAAGGTCATTATTAACTTTAACCAGAGCTGTCTCTGTGCTATGATGAACTCTAAATCCTGACTGAAAATCCTCAAATAAACTATTGTTATGTAGAAAGTCACACAACTCTTTGGCGACTACTTTCTCCAGAATCTTAGAGAGGAAGGGGAGGTTAGAAATCGGTCTATAGTTGGCTGAAACCCCTGGGTCAAGAGAGGACTTTTTAAGAAGGGGTTTAATTACAGCTACTTTAAAGGACTGTGGTACATATCCTGATAATAAAGAAAGATTAATCATATCCAGTAAAGAAGTGCCAATCAAGGGAACAACTTCTTTAAGCAGCCTAGTTGGGATCAGGTCTAATAGACAGGTTGATGGCTTCGATGAAGAAATGATTGAAGTTAACTGATGAAGATCGATAGCAGAAAAACAGTCTAAATATATATCTGAGTTTACATTGGCAGAAGTCCCTGAACTTGGAGAGCCACTGATAACTGTTGATGGCAGTTGGTGATTAAAGTGTCCTGAGATAACTTCTGTTATGAATTGGCGCTATACAAATAAAATTGAATTGAATTGAATTAATTTTCTCTCTAATAGTAATAATTTTATTATAGAAGAAGCTCATGAAGTCATTGCTACTTAAGTTTATGGGGATATGTGGCTCAATAGAGCTGTGACTCTCTGTCAGCCTGGCTACAGTGCTGAAGAGGAACCTAGGGTTGTTCTTATTTTCTTCTATTAGTGCTGAATAATAGGCTCCTCTGGCATTACGGAGGGCCTTTCTATAGGTTTTAAGATTATCTTGCCGAATTGAGTGATATTCTGATAATTTGGAAGAGCGCCATTTCCTTTCAGATTTTCTAGCTTTTTGCTTTAATTGGCGGGTTTGGTGGTTGTACCACGGTGCTAGTCTCCTATGGTTTAATAATTTCTTCCTTATAGGAGCGATAGAATCTAATGTTGATCGTAGTGAGCCTGTAGCACTATTACCAAGATTATCAATTTCGGAGGGACTAAAGTTATTATAGGACTCTGTTAAATTCAGACATGGCATTGAATTAAACACTGAAGGAATCTCCTCCTTAAATTTAGCTACAGCACTGTCAGATAGACATCTGCTGTAGGAAGTTTTGCCTAATGGCTTATAATCTAATAGTATGAATTCAAAAGTTATTAAATAATGGTCAGATAGGAGAGGATTATGTGGGAAGACTATTAAATCTTCAATATCAATGCCATATGACGCTATACAAATAAAATTGAATTGAATATGATAGAACAAGGTCAAGAGTGTGATTAAAATAATGAGTGGGTTTATTTACACTCTGACAGAAGCCAATTGAGTCTATTAATGATATAAATGTGTTACTAAGGCTGTCATTGTTAACATCCACATGAATATTAAAATCACCTACAATAAATACTTTATCTGATTTAAGGACTAAACTTGACAAAAACTCTGAGAATTCATATATAAAATCAGAGTAGGGGCCAGGAGCGCGGTACACTATAACAAACAGAACTGGCTGCAGTGTATAAGCATTGGTAAACTGTCCAATTATTTGTCCAACTGTCCATTATCAGTGTAAACAGCAATAACTACTGCCATTTCACAGATAATGACTTCTATTACAGTTCTATAACTTTTAACCATCAACAGTCATGATTAATAAATATTATTATTGATGTGTTAAATAGAGGTCAACACACACCGTACACACACACACACACACACACACACACACACACACACACACACACACACACACTGTTTTGTTCGTTTCATGTTTCTGTTGATGAATTTAATCATCAACTTCTCTCCTATAAAACCGCAAAACTGAGCTGAAAACATCAGATCACAAATCTGAACCTGAACCTGAACCTGATCTTAATTAAGAACCAGAAAAATAACTGATCTCAGCCCAGCCATGGACAGAGGTAAGACTCTCTTTGACTTTATTTTTGATGTGATGTTGTTAAAATGCAGACTTGGTAACAGTTCCCGCATGGCCAGACCTCTGCTGTTGGCCCTGAAACCAGACCTGGACCCAGAGGACCCCCTCACAATGTAGCCTGTGGCAAATTTGGAACCTCGCCAGCCGTCAGCTGAACGGTCTCAGTTGATCCACTTCCTGTTCCTGTGATCAGTCGGGTTCAGGTTTATTTAATATTCATTATTGTCTTCAGCACCTTATTGGTTTGTCAGTTATTACCAGATATATAAGTAAAGTCCTAATTGATCAGAAATCTTTCTGATGACACTGATCAATTGATTGATTGATTGCTTTTTCCTTCAAGCTTTAAACAACTGTGAACTGTATTAAATAAAAATAGAACAGGTGAGTCTGACCTGTCTTTCTCCTGTCTGTCTGTCAGCAATCCTCCTATTATCGGTGCTGTCTCTGGGTGTGTCCTCTCAGCCAATCACAGAGGGCCAGCGTCTGTTCTCCATCGCTGTCGAAAGAGTCCACAACCTCCACCTGCTCGCTCAGAGACTCTTCACTGAGTTTGTACGTGTCAGCAGCTCCAGGTCACAGGGTGCAGTGTGATGTCATTAACGTCACTGTGTGTGTATAACAGTGTGTATTTCTGTGTGCGTTTGTTAGGAGAGCTCTCTGCAGACGGAGGAGCAGCGACAACTCAACAAAATCTTCCTGCAGGATTTCTGCAACTCAGATTACATCATCAGCCCCATCGACAAGCACGAGACACAACGCAGTTCTGTGAGAGAGCAGTACTACACTGTATTACACAGTACTACACTGTACTGCACTGTACTACCCTGTACTACACTGTACTACACAGTACTACACTGTACTGCACTATACTGCACTGTACTACACTGTACTACACAGTACTACACTGTACTGCACTGTACTACCCTGTACTACACTGTACTGCACAGTACTACACTGTACTGCACTGTACTACCCTGTACTACACAGTACTACACGTTACTACCCTGTACTACACTGTACTACCCTGTACTACACTGTACTACACAGTACTACACTCTACAACAATATACTACACTGTACTACACAGTATTACACAGTACTACACTGCACTGCACTATACTACACTGTACTACACAGTACTACACTGTACTACACTGTACTACACAGTACTACACTCTGATACAATATACTACACTGTACGACACTGTACTACACTGCACTGCACTGTACTACACATTACTACACAGTATTACACAGTACTACATTCTACTACAATATATTACACAGTGCTACACCGTACTACACCGTACTACACAGTACTACACCTTACTACATAGTACTACACAGGACTACAGCATACAACTGGAAATCATCCTCAGTCTATTTTCTTTAACAGCAGAAAGTATTTCTGTGTCTATATTAACAGTTACACTGGTTTTATTGATTAACTCTAACTCTATCGATCGGTTGCTTCCAGGTTCTGAAGCTGCTGTCTATCTCCTATCGACTGATTGAGTCTTGGGAGTTCCCCAGTCGTTCTCTGTCTGTAGGTCCTGCTGCCAGGAACCAGATTTCACCCAAACTGTCTGAACTGAAGACCGGGATCCTGCTGCTCATCGGGGTGAATGCACGCACGCACGCATGCACGCACGCACGCACGCACGCACGCACGCACACACACACAGGTGAATCATAATGTCATCTGAGTACCCAGCCTACATTTTTGAGTAACCACCTGATCCTGCAGGCCAATCAGGACGGAGCAGAGATGTTCCCTGACAGCTCCACCCTCCAGCTGGCTCCGTACGGTAACTATTACCAAAGTCTGGGAGCCGATGAGTCGCTGAGACGAACCTACGAACTGCTGGCCTGCTTCAAAAAAGACATGCATAAGGTGAGGAAGAGGAGGAGGTGAAGATGTACTGATGATGATGAAGATGTACTGAGGATGATGATGTCTGTGTTTACAGGTGGAGACCTACCTGACGGTGGCAAAATGTCGACTCTCTCCAGAGGCCAACTGCACCTTGTAGTGACGCCTCCACACTGTGAAGCCACGCCCCCTGTAATCTTACGTGTTCTGTAGCTCCACCTCCATACTCTCTGACTCTCTTAACTAGCATAAGCACTAGCATTAGTGTTAGTCCCTGTTTGGTAGTCAAGTGTTTTGGGGCTAAAGTCCAGAGTGATGATGAAGTTGGAGGTTTTCTGATGTTATGATGTCAGCTGTGAACAGGAAGTGATGTCATTATAAAGCCTGTGCTGTGTTGCATTCGGATGTGTCTGTGTGTTGATGATTCATTAACGTTCTCTGAAGATGTTTCTTCTTCATGTTGTCAGGATCATTCTTTTTCAAACTGTAACCTTTGAAAAGGTCGTTCGCACTTAAACATGATTTTAAAAAAGGTTCTTTAGACCTGATTTTAAACAGGTTCTGCACACAGTCATCAGGTTGCAGCAGGAGGACCAGACACAGGGCTTATAACCTTATATTATAACTTTATATTATAACCTCATATTATAACTTTATATTATAACCTTAAATTATAACTGTATATTATAACTTTATATTGTAACTTTATATTATAACCTCAAATTATAACTTTATATTATAACTTTATATTATAACCTTATAGTATAACCTTATATTACAACCTCAAATTATAACTGTATATTATAACCTTATATTATAACCTCATATTACAACCTCATATTATAACTGTATATTATAACCTTATATTATAACCTCATATTACAACCTCATATTATAACTTTATATTATAACTTTATATTATAACTAGAGGCTTTGAAATTAATCAAATAATCGATGCATCACGATGCAGACATGGATGATGCTGCATCGATGCAGTGGCCGACCATAATCGATTATAACCCAATGATGTCGTTCGTTAATTTTCCGGTCGCGGCATAAACATTCAAATGAAAAATAACATTCTCAGTAGTCTAACCCGTTTCATCTAGACCTATGATAGACTCTAGTCTCATCCGGGTCTCATTTACCTGACGTCATTTATCAAGATTTGCATGTAAGTGCCAGAGCAATATGGCTGAAGGTGGTTGTGAGAACGTCCTTAAAAACGCTCCAAACATTTTAAAAGCTGAGATATGGAAGCATTTCAGATTTTACCAACAGAATGATGATAACATCAGAAAATTGCAGCTCATCCAGGGTTTTATGTCCTTAAGACATGTTTGTAATTTAGATAATTGATTAATTTCATCGGGCTTGATCGATAGATATAACTGCGTATCATCTGCATAACAGTGAAAGTTAATGGAGTGATTCCTAATAATGTTGCCTAAAGGGAGCATATATAAAGTAAATAGTATTGGTCCAAGTACAGAACCTTGTGGAACTCCATGACTAACTGTAGTATTTATTGAAGATTCATCGTTAACATGTACAAACTGCGAGCGATCTGATAAATATGACTTAAACCAGCTTAGTGCAGTTCCTTTAATGCCAATTTGATGCTCAAGTCTCTGTAAAAGAATATTATGGTCAATGGTGTCAAATGCAGCACTAAGATCTAATAATACAAGTACAGAGACAAGTCCATTGTCAGAAGCAATCAGAAGGTCATTATTAACTTTAACCAGAGCTGTCTCTGTGCTGTGATGAACTCTAAATCCTGACTGAAAATCCTCAAATAAACTATTTTTATTTAGAAAGTCACACAACTCTTTGGCGACTACTTTCTCCAGAATCTTAGAGAGGAAGGGGAGGTTAGAAATCGGTCTATAGTTGGCTAAAACCCCTGGGTCAAGAGTGGGCTTTTTAAGAAGGGGTTTAATTACAGCTACTTTAAAGGACTGTGGTACATATCCTGATAATAAAGAAAGATTAATCATATCCAGTAAAGAAGTGCCAATTAAGGGAACAACTTCTTTAAGCAGCCTAGTTGGGATCGGGTCTAATAGACAGGTTGATGGCTTCGATGAAGAAATGATTGAAGTTAACTGATGAAGATCGATAGCAGAAAAACAGTCTAAATATATATCTAAGTTTACATTGACAGAAGTCCCTGAACTTGGAGAGCCACTGATAACTGTTGATGGCAGTTGGTGATTAATTTTCTCTCTAATAGTAATAATTTTATTATAGAAGAAGCTCATGAAGTCATTGCTACTTAACTAAGTTTATGGGGATATGTGGCTCAATAGAGTTGTGACTCTCTGTCAGCCTGGCTACAGTGCTGAAGAGGAACCTAGGGTTATTCTTATTTTCTTCTATTAGTGCTGAGTAATAGGCTCCTCTGGCATTACGGAGGGCCTTTCTATAAATTTTAAGATTATCTTGCCAAATTGAGTGATATTCTGTTTGGAAGAGCGCCATTTCTGTAGCACTATCGACAAGATTATCAATTTCAGAGGGACTAAAGTCGTTATAGGATTCTGTTAAATTCAGACATGGCATTGAATTAAACACTGAAGGAATCTCCTCCTTAAATTTAGCAACAGCACTGTCAGATAGACATCTGCTGTAAGAAGTTTTGCCTAATGGCTTATAATCTAATAGTATGAATTCAAAAGTTATTAAATAATGGTCAGATAGGAAAGGATTATGTGGGAAGACTATTAAATGTTCAATATCAATGCCATATGATAAAACAAGGTCAAGAGTGTGATTAAAACAATGAGTTGGTTTATTTACACTCTGACAGAAGCCAATTGAGTCTATTAATGATATAAATGCATTACTAAGACTGTCATTTTCAACATCCACATGAATATTAAAATCACCTACAATAATTACTTTATCTGATTTAAGGACTAAACTTGATAGAAACTCTGAGAATTCAGATATAAAATCAGAGTACGGTCTTGTTTTTATTTCTTTAAATAATTGGGGTTTTGGGTGGGTGACTGTTCTAAAGAAAGTGCAGAGAAGTGTGTAAGACAGCAGCTCTGCTTCCTGGTCCTAACTCTGGACTGTCAGGTTTTAGAAATAAACTTCGCCATATTCCTAAATAAGAGAGCCGCTCCATCCAAAGTGGGATGGATGCTGTCTCTCCTAATCAGACCAGGTTTTCCCCAAAAAGGCTTCCAGTTATCAATGAAGCCCACATTGTTTGCTGGACACCACCTCGACAGACAAGCGGTGGAATGACGACATGCGGCTATACATGTCATTACTGGTCACATTGGGCAGGGGTCCAGAGAAAACTACGGAGTCCGACATTGTTTTAGCATAATTACACACCGACTCCACATTAATTTTGGTGACCTCCGATTGGTGTAAACGGGTGTCATTACCGCCGACGTGAATAACAATCTTACTGTATTTACGTTTACCTTTAGCCAGCAGTTTTAAATTTGATTCAATGTCGCCCGCTCTGGCCCCAGGGATACATTTAACTATGGCCGCTGGCTTCACTAACTTCACGTTTCTGACTATGGAGCTGCCAATAACCAGAGTTGGTTCCTCAGCGGGTGTGTCGCTGAGTGGGGAAAAACTATTGGAAAAGTGAATGGGTTGGTGGTGAACTGTGGGCTTCAGCGTTTTATTCTTCCTCCGTTCAGTCACCCAGCCTCCCTGTCTTCCCAGCTGCTGGGGAACTATCGGGGGAACTATTGGGGGATCCACCGTGGGACGGCTAGCAGAAGCTAAGGAAAGTAGGAAGTAAACCGGAAATGAGTCAGTACGCTTACCGTAGCATGTCACACTGGAAAAACAGGGTGCCCTGGTGGTTCTATCTATCTATCTATCTATTACTCCTGTTCTCACATCCCTCCATTGGCTTCCTTTTAAAACTCAGAATCAATTATAAGATCTTACTGATTACATATAAGGCACTTCATGACCCCCAGTTACATTTCAAATCCCCTTGTTCCTCATTCCACTCCTCAACCACTTCGCTTCTCAAATCTTGGCCTTTTATCCGTTCCCTGCTCTAACTGTAAAACTAAAGGTGACCGGGGCGGCAGTAGCTCAGTGTGTAGGGACTTGGCTTGGGAACTGGAGGGCATATATATATATATATATATATATATATATATGGAGTGTGGACTGGTAGCTGGAGAGGTGCCAGTTTCACCTCCTGTGCACTGCCCAGGTGTCCTTGAGCAAGGCAACCTAACCCCAAAAACCTGCTCATGGGGCGCTGTTAACGTTGCAGCCCCATCACTCCAACATCTCTCTCCCCTTTGCGTGTGTGTGTATGAAAAAAAGAGTGAAAGAAAAGAATAATTTCCCCTAGGGGATCAATAAAGTATACCTTCTTCTTCTTTGCTGTTTTAGCCCCGACATTGTGGAACAGTCTTCCCCAGTCACTCAGATTCACCCAATCTGTGGACTGTTTTTAATCCTCTACCTCTTGTTTTATCTTCCTTTGTTTGTATTTACATGAACCCTACGTTTGTTTGATTGGGTTTGGTTATACCCATATGTTTATTTGTTGTTTGTAAAGCACTTTGGATCTCTGTGTCAAAAAGGTGCTATATAAATAAAGCTTTACTTACTTATTTACTTACTTACTTAACTGTGGAGAGGAGACATCTTATGTCCAGCAGGAAAACATAAGCATATTTACAGATGCTGGAATACTTAATGAGATAGAAGGAGGAGATGACACTTTTTCCCCCAAGCAGACTATCTGAGTATGCGTCACCATTAGGGGGCGCAGCGGCCGCTTCGGCTCTGTCCGTTTTACGTTCGGTCATCTCCGGGCCGGCCTTCTTCCTCTTCGGAAGACTTCGGCTGTGTTCGGCTGGTAACGGTCGGTGTTTCAAATCTTCGGCCGCAGCTCCGAGTGGAGGCTGAAGTAAAGAAAGAGAAAAGAGGGAAACAGACAACAAGAACCAACAGACGGAGTGTGGAAGCGGAATGACGGTGCTGCAGGAACCTGTCCAGGTATGAACACACCTTCAGCTCGTTGTCACGAACGGGGAACCGAGTATTTATGAAGCCTGTGCTGCTCTCTCCGTCCCGGCCTCAGCCGCTGCTCCAGCCCGTGGTGTGAGCTCTTCCCCCGCCACAGGCCCCGCAGCCCGCCGCCGGCCGCACGGAGCGTTTTATCGGCGTTAAAACCCGGATTATCACCGTGTAGTTCAGTCTGTCAGCGGCTGTTTGTTTCAACTCTTTAACACAGTGCTACTTGGTGTGCTAACGGCAGCCGAGTTACAGCTCAGATAGGTCATACATGACTCCCTTTAAAAACCTGCCGGATTAAGCTTTGCGTTGCTGTTGGTTAATGAATAAACTCAGTGGAATAATTCTTGTCACCTTCTGTGAATTTTGTGGTAGCACAC